ATTTGTTTTTGTTGTTTTGCTAAGTATTTATTGTTCATTTTTTTCAATAGCATATCCATCATTACAATTTTAATTAATTTCTTTATTTTCTTTGTTCTTCAACGCAAATCACCAAAGACCTTTAATTGTAGTCCGAAAAAATTTGGAAAACAAAAAAGTGAACGTCAAGCGGCCGACGTGCCCATAATCTTGCTTATGTACACACATACCTACATACATATTTATGTTTTACACTCATGGCAAAATTAAATTGATTGCCAATTTGTTTTTGTAATTCAAAAATCAATCAATTGTTGTTTGCCGTTATGTCAAAAGGTTAACTTGACTTTGGGTTCACATTGATGTGAACCGATAAACAAAAAAAAAAAATTTAATTACATATTTCGTGTGCTCGCTTTCCGTTTGCATACATTTCGTTTTTGTAGGGTATTCAACTTAGAGTTCGATGAAATGAAATGTGCGAAAAATTTATATTTTAGAGTAATTATTATTATATTTTATATTAAAGTATCAGAAAATGGTCGGCGTTCATCAAAGATTCATAAAAAGCTTCATAACACAAGATCTACTACGGAAATGTATTTATTAGTACTTCATCTGCACAAAACTTTAGATCTTACCGTAGACGACCCTAATGTATTCTAAGGAATAGTTAATCAAAACATAATCATACTTTGATTGGTTGTTTTGATCTTGAATCTTTACTAGAAAGAGTAACACTCATACTGTGTATGGACCCGTATAAAAGCGCTAGTATAGTGGTGTATACCAAAATTCTTATTATGAATGTCTATTGGATTCCAATCATAAGCGTTTGAATTTCTAGTGGTCATTTTTTGTTAATTATCTATTTCTACCATTCCATACAGAAATGTCAAAACCAGTATTTTACCAGGTTTGGAGTTTGAATACAAATATCTACAATATGAAATATCTACATATAATTTTTATATTGATTTACGAACGTTCGAATTTAACAATTTACCAAAACTTATCTCTTAAAAAATCGTTGGTCTTTAAATACTTTGTGATTTTTTTAAATAATATTATATACTATTATATACGTAGGATTGTTATCTGTGTTTTTAAGTATATTGTCTTCAGTAGCCATCCGCAAAGCAAAATCATGTTATGATATTCAGCACAAGTACGACTGAGTTTTATTTCAGTTGTCACAACCATGTTTCTGCAGTAGCCTAGTAATGATTTACCATTCTATCTTCCAAGTTGATAGATATATACATATAATATATAAACCGTTGTTTGATATTAGAGAAGGAAGAATGAAGCTTAAACTTCATAGTAGATTTAATTTAATTTTTAAACTGTAAAAGCAGTGTAAAAATCTCCTAATATTTTAAGTATTATGATGAGCTTAGTCTTTCTTAGCATTATCAATAGATCTATCCACATAACTGCGAATACTTGTTTCGCCAGCAGTAAACAGACGCCAAGAGCTACATACATTTTGTCAAAACAATTTTCGTTTAAAATTTATTTTCTTATATTATTATTGAGTCCAATAATTAATATAATAAAGTAGCTCACACCCGAAGCGAAAATCTAAATTCTTGGGAAATGCTAAAACGAAATCCAAACTACTCGGGCAACTAATCAACTCTTAACAATTATAATTTAATAATTATTATTTGTTGACATCAAAATAGAGAGAGAAATTTTACCCATACTTTTAACATTGAAGATATGGTATAAGCTCTTATATATTATATATTATATATTATATGTCGACAGAACACAATATAGGTAGATTTCAAATTGAAGCTCGTACAGGCCTGAGTTTTTTTTTACAGACTGTCGAAGGGAACTTGAAAAAAATATTCTGTGCTTCCTGTGCTCATTTCATATTGACGAATCTTAAAGGAAAATTATTGGCGCAGACAATTAAGGCCCTAATGTAAAATTCTCTAAAGGCACCGAAACGCAAACCGTTTAATGAAATTTTAGTCCAATTTTTTTTAACAGATCGAAAGTGTAGGTTCAGTGTTGTATTGGGCACTTTTCTACGCTAAAAGTCAGCTGGAACGAAAAACTGAGGATTTTTTCGAAGGTTACGTGCAATTATATTTTGAGTGAGCAATATGCGCATGAAGAGAAGAACAAATTTATCACTTGTCGACGGCTTCATTGTTCACCTTTCTAACGTTTGAGTTTACGTGAGTTTTATTTTGTTTGGTTTTGCTTATTATTTAATTTTTTGTAATTCTATGACTGACCTTTCATCAAAAGCGCAGATGGACAACCCCTAATAGAATCGTGAAATTGAATACGCCAGAGGGTGTGTGCAACAAAAAAACTACAAAAAAGCCAAAACTAGATAAATAAACTCAACTATAATATACAAACACAAGGTATCTCATGCAAATGTAGACATCCCCACATATGTATGTGTGTGAATTGTTAGAAGTGAGTGACATGCAGAAGATACACATTCTTCATATGCCAGTTTACTGGCATGCACTGCAACTAAATTCCATAGCAATGTCGCCTTACAAAAATGTCCCTTAGACCAGATGTGAGATACTAAGTTGCACACGCCTATGACGTAGCTGATATCAAACTGATGGTGTTGTACACACCTTGAAAAATATTTTTTTTATTATTTCATATATTTGTGTATATAAAGTTAAAAAATTACTAAGAAACATAACTATGATATGTATTTTGTTATTGTTTTTTCTGTTACGAACATAAGAATGTTAGATTTCATAAGCAATGGGAAGGTCAAAAACACTAGAATAGTAGTAGAATAGTTTAATACGTTATGTCAATCTAGCGCTCACTACTCTCATAACCGATCAAAAGTTCCAAGAGGAATCTATAGCCACGTCCATTACTTTAATCCCGGTCATAAGCGTTCTGGTTGGGCACAGTTTTGCAATCCGTTGTCAAATCTCCATAATAGGTCGGTATAGTGTTCATTGTGAATTCCAGAAAACGGTCATCATCTCCTTTCCGTCCGATAGCCTTTTTCGAAGCAGGTTCATCCGATAAAATTCACTATATCAACTGTTCGTTGGTCTCTTAAATCCATGTTTCCTCGACGTCCCGAAACGCCGCAGCAACTACTTGGGATTTCTTAAACTGAGTCAAACACGTCAAGGAAGTGGTCTCTGATTGTTGTGCGGAGTAGGCAAATGCCTAAAATATGACTCACGCGGACTTTTGAGACGCCAACTGTCCTAGATATCTCGCGCATCTTCAATTAGCGGCTAGCCGATACGAGCTCATGGTCTTCGTTAGGTTATCCTCCGTAAAAGCCGTGTTCGGAGAACATACGATAACGTTGAAAATCGTTAAATCAATTTTTAACAGTCGTCACTGAAAGCAAAACGTCTAGCACTCTATGGACTCACTGCACGATTTCCCTCATTAAAAATATAATCAAATCACTGACCGATATTGCTTTCTTCCCATTTTTCCAAATACCACGGAGGCGCACGTCATGAACAACTTCAACGACTCCCTCTCAGTGAATGGCGTACTTGGAGTCAAACCAGCACCCATGGCAGATGAAGAGCTCGAGTTGCCCCGAGAATCTAGAGTGACCATTGCGCAACTTCGTTCAGGATACTGTAACAGGTTAAACTTCTACTTATCCAGAATCGACTCCGATATAACAAATATATGTCCAGCGTGCAATGAGTCCCAGCATAACTCTAACCACCTCTTTCCATGCCCAGTGAACCCCACTCATCTAACACCTCTCTTCATATGGTTCGACCTGTTATCGTTAGCTGACTTCGTTAACAACCAACCCGAACCTTATAACACAAGCGGAGAATAGATAACCTCTACAACAACAACAGCAACATGCGGTCAAAACAAGACTACGAAACTGATTCAGTACAGTTATGTCGTATTTTTTAATATAGTGCCATGATAAGTGAGGTTAGAGTTGTGAACCAGTATTTGAGATAACATGAGAAAAACATGAGAATTGGAATAATAAAATAGACAAGATAATGTAGAAATCCATTCATTTTCTATTTACGAAATACACAATGTTGTTAAAAAAACTATACTGCATGCTCACACCTCCTCTTGACAATCCTTCTGAAGAGTATAAAAAACAGTTTATACATACTATTGAATTTTAGAACAATGCTGAGAAGTTAATATACAAAGCGCTTACGTCTGCTTGAGTTTCCATTTGGTTCAACAAATGTTTATACTCTGAACAGCGTATATTACGTTTCCAGAAGTAAACATCTGATACCTTATAAAGCTGGATCAATTTATCCATGCACATCTGCTGGTCTGTATAAAAGCAAACTAGTGCCTCAGTTTTCGAGATATCGGTATGAAATTTTGCACACGTCATTTTTTCCCCAAAAAGCTTCTCTTTTACGGAAACTGCCGATATCGGACCACTATGGCATATACATAATTGCCATACAAACTGATCGATCAAAATCAAGTCCTTCTATGAAAGACTTTTTATTTGACAAGATATGTATCTTGACGAAATTTGACATGAATTATTGTACAGGACAATGCTACAATATCCAAGCAAATTGTTCAGAACAGACCACTGTAGCATTTGGCTGTCATACAAACTGATCAATCAAAATCAGAGATAAGCATCTATTTATACCCTTTTATGTTATAGGAAATGCATTTGTAAAGGGTATTATAGCTTTGGTGCAGTCGAAGTTAACAATATCAATCATTAAATGGTAAATAATAAAATTAATTCTTTGGTTATAGATGAAATGTGCATTCTGCAAGTGGTTTTTATTAATAAATTGTTTTGAACTCACATAATCTTCTTACATATGTACAACAAAATCATAAAATGACACATGCTCATAAATGTATACATATGTCTGTATGTATTCAACTACATATTTACAAATAAATACCAGCACGCAATTACACAATCGTCTTCCTACCGTCTTGTAAACTAATATGTATACAGCATTTTTCTACTCGTCGCATATTTTTATGTATGTATTATTGTAACAACAACAAATACTCACCTTGACAGGTGCTATGACCGACACGAGTCAGGAAGAGCAGCAGCCGTAGAACAACAATAACCGCAATTAGACTGTCGGCGCATAATCTGCAACGGTAATTCACAGGAACCGGCATGTTGGACATTTGTATTGGATGTATGTATGTATGTATAACTGAGTAAGTGTATGTGTGCCCGCAGCACTGCAGGGTCGCAAAAGGTATGTTTACCGCTGTGTTGTTTTGCTCTTTCCGTTCTTTGCTTATCACTTATTGTCACTGTCACTTTGTCAACTATGCCGCACTATGACTTCGGAGCAGTGAATAGTGCTTTACACCGCTACTTCTACACATCTGCACATGGCACATAAGAAGAATGTATAGTTGTTGTAATTGTTATTGTTAATAATGTTTGCTTGTTGATTGTTTTGTTTATTTGTATATATTTATTATGTTTTTGTTTGTGTTTTCTTAACTGACTTATTGGTTTTTAAGTGCCGCACATTATTGCTCTCATGTAGTTATTTAGAGTTACTGTTATTTATTTTTTTTGCACTTGCTTTTCTTGTGTGTGTCGATTGTTAATTTGTTTGCATTCCAATTACAAGTGAACATGTCTTATGCACAGATATGTACATCCATATGTACAAGTATTGGTATGTGTCACTTTTATCAAGTTTTTGTTGTTATTTGCTTTCTATTAGTTTTAATTGTCTTTCGAATTGCTCTCCAATCTTCTGTTATTATTATTCACGCGCTCACTTATCACTTCCTCAGCTCTGTTCTCAAGTTGTCAAAATTCATTCAGAGCACTGCAAAGTTTCCAGAAGGTTATGTACCTTCTGGTGTAGGTTGGTAGTTATTGTAATTGTTTGTTTGCTTACATAGTGCAGCTGATAATTTAAGTGTATACATATGTATGTAATATTCAAGTTTACAATAAAGCATATGCAATGGGTAAAACAAGAGGGAAATAAAGCAAAATTTTTACACTTTTCTAACAGAAAACAAAACAATAAAAAATGTTAACTTCGGTTGCACCGAAGATAATACCATTCACAAACACAAAGATTCCGGGAAGATATTAGCACTTACAAGCACTTTATTCCGATCGTTTAATTAACATGGCAGCTATATGCTATAGTGATCCGATCTATGCAATTTCTTCGGAGATTGCATTATTGGCTTCAATAATAATCCATGCCACATTTCGTGAAGATACCTCGTCAAATTAAAAAGAGTTTTCCATAGAAGAACTTGATTGCGATCGTTCAGTTTGTATGGCAGCTATGTGCTACAGTGATCTGATCTGAACAATTTCTTCGAAGATTACATTGCTGCATTAGGAAATAACTCATGCCAAATTTCGTGAAGATATTACGACATAAATAAGTTTCTGATACAAGCACTTGATTTCGATTGCTCAGTTTGTATGGCAGCTGTATGCTATAGTGTTCCGATATCGGCAGTTCCGACAAATGGGCAGCTGCTTAGTGAGAAAAGAACAGATGCAAAATTTCAGATCGACAGCTTAAAAACTGAGAGCTAGTTCGTATATATACAGACAGACGGACAGACATAATCAACTCAACTCATCATGCTGAACAGTTATGTATATACAAGTATTTTATAGGGTCTCCGACGTTTCCTTCTGGGTGTTACAAACTTCGTGGCAAACTTAATATAAACTGTTCAGAGTATAAATATATTTTTATATTGATTAATTTATTAATTTATTAAAAACTGAATAAAGTCAAAAGAAATAAATTTTCTGTACGAAAAATATGTTTTTGTAACTTTCTTTGCAAAACTATATTATTACAACTAAAAACTATATCGAAAACCAAAGAGAATAAACCATAAACATCTTGTAAATACTCAAAAGAAGACCAACACAATTTGCAGACAATCTTTATTTAAATATATTTAACAAACGAGCTGTTCAATTAAATTGCATTAGCACTTAAGACTCGATGAAATGATTCCGAAAAGAAAAACAACAAAAACAATTAAATTGCATAGAAAAGATTACAACATATTGTCCCTGTACAATCATTAATTCTAGCGTAGATTGCAATCGCACAAAGGCACATAGAGCAAAGTAAATAATAAGAGTAAATAAGACAAAAATAAAAAACACGAAAAATTTGCCGCGCTGTGAACTTTCGCCGACTCTGTCATATTATTTTGTAGTGTTCAATTAATTTGAAAGGCCACTCAAGAAGGGTTTGTCAATATGTTGTTGTATATGGTATAAGATGTATTTACATACTTGTATATAAATGACAATAGACATATCTAAGCAAGTGATGAAAGAATATACCTTATTAATTGTCAAGACTTTTCAGTAGATAACTTAAGTATTTAGAATATTATAAACAATAACAAAACTTAATGCATTTGGCAGGTCTGATTCCTATCTACTAGGATTTTGATCAAGTGCCAAATTCAAATATCCGGATAAATTTAATACCTCATTATTCGGTAGACCTAAACAAAAATAGGCTTGTTCGAATATATGTACTTATAATGTTTAGACATACTATATAGAAATTAATGAAACTTGAACAGACGTAGTGAAGATTCACAGCATCTCCCTTATATATGGACATCCGAATAAATGCGCAAATAAAAATTAATTGTATTGTATGTCCACATTACCGGGACGGTATTCGTGTCGACGGATAATCCGTAACATACCTATTTATAACCAGACTATTTTAAGATAATACTAATTCTCACGATGAATAAAATAATTTCCGTGTCTCAGGTTATTCTATACACATTGGTGTTATTTGTTACCTGAAATATAGAACCTGAAATCGTTCTATATATTTAATTTATTGTAATTTTGTGCCTAAAACAAGTGAAATCAAAAAATTGTATCAGATCTTTGCTTTATCCGTGCCGCCTTCATCGTGCATATTTTTGTTCTGACATTTTGCTAGCTTTCTTACTAGCTAACTTAATTATAATTGTAAAAAAAAATATTTCTTGCTCTTTTTGGATATTTTAATAAATTTATAAGAATTGGATTGGTAGAAATATTGTTATTCATATTTTCCAAAATCACACTTAAATTTATATGTTATATTTAACAACAAAATAATGTGCAAAAATATATATTTAAATACACAAAAATTTTATACACATTAGGGTGAGCAAAAAAGAAGAATATTTTTTTTTTTGCTTGGTGCTCTAAAAAATAGGTTGTTAAACATGTCTAAGAAAGTCTCTCAAAGTATGAACTCTCAATTGTAACGGGAAGGTCCTCCGCCTTTTAGTTTTCTTTTTCCGTATTATCAGATTGAAAAATACAAATCTCGCTTCCAACTACTTGAAAAAATATTTTATTTCAAAGATTTTTTAGAAAATTGAATGCTCTACATTATTACTTTAAGGTAACATTTTTTATTTTTATTATATCATAAAATGGGGAAAAAATAATTATTTATCGGAAAGCTGATAGCTTTGTAGGAAATTAAATGCTTTACAAAAATGGCCGCTTATAATTAAAAAAAAAAATATATATATATACACATATTTATTGTTTTGCATTGATGTTTGATGATGAATATCTCGTAAAGGCCGAACTTAATCGAAAAATTATAAAAGACCATTTTTGTAGGGCAGTAAATTTCCTACAAAACTATGAGTTTTACGATTTATAATATTTTTTTCCATTGAGTTATAAAATTCATATGAAAAAAAATTTGCCTTAAAATAAAATTATAACTTTAATATTTAATAACTTTTAAACGTTTAGGGTTACGGAAAATGCTCTACAAGTGATCTCTTACTAAGCGACCCACCCTAATATACATGCTAAAATCTGATATAGACTTTTTACCCACTCACAAACACGAATATATATATATTTACATATGTACATATGTATACATCGACCTACTTGTATAGAGATTATACGTATCTTACTATTGACAAGTAACTCAATAATTACCAATCATTCAATCAAGTTATGACTCGTGCTAAGAATCACTTTTACATACTCAAATGTAAGTTTTGTGGACAAAAAAGTCAAGTAGCAAAGAGTAAAATCGCCTTAAGGGATTATAATTTTGTTTTTGAAGTATGCTCGTTTTCTAGAGCTTAAAGAAATGCTTCACCACTAAAATAAAGTACGAGAACAGCTTCAAAAGTCAATGATTATTGATGTAAATCATATATATTTTCCGAATACATATGTGAGTTTCTCAAGAACCATAAATTATTGTTTCTGGTTTCTGTGGAGATCTCTTAAAGCTAAGCAACATCGGAAATAATATTATACAATGTCGAATATAAGCTGAGTCGACAGAATAACCCTAGCCGCTGAGCTCGTAAGAAGATTGGTCCTTGAAATTATACTAAATATAATTTATATTGGAAGATATGAGAAATTCTGAATTTGAGGCAAAATAAAGGATAAGTTTGTTTCAAAAAGATGGAACCTTTTGTGACCTTTAGTGATCATTTAACCATCCCTGTGTTTCCATATGCTCAACCTAAGGAAATTCTTCACCAAAAATTAATAGAATGTAATTTTTTTTTTTTTTGGAAATTTATGTCAAAATCTAAAAATATTTAACTCTACTTAAATTAGTATGTATATGTTATATTCGGATCCGTACGAGCCCGATTAGGCCCGATAGTCCAATTATTTAGGTTTCTAAACAAAAAATCATATTCTAATAATTCAATTATTCTTTTTCTTTCAGGTTTTGAAAGTGGTAAGTGACAATATTTATACAAAATACAACTAAAAATTGTATTGAATAAGTTTATTATCACTCATGTGTGCCACGCAAAATATTTTAAAGTCATTAAACCCCTACCTCTACGAAATGAAAAATTTTAAAATATCTTATTCCAATAAATCCTCATTAAGTACCTGCTTCAACCGCTATTACAATCGAATAAGCCTTCATTGAAATGTATGGGTTGGTACTTGCCACCTAATGCTGCACTAAAATTAACACATTGTAACGGTATTATCACTTTAACTACCCATTATTATGCAGAAATATAATCATAGAAAACACAGGCCAACAAATGAAGTGATGTTTAGTGCCTAACAACAAAAGCTTATACTTAAAAGTTGCTTGCAGCAATTTTTTGTGGCGCACTTTAAGGCGCGCAAACACGTAGCGGCTAAACAGCAATGCCAACTAGCTCAAATGGCACAAAACCGCAGTTACATACTTACACTTCTGCATAAAGAAATTATTACGTTTATTGCTAAAATGTTCGGTATGGATATCCTATAAACATTCGGGATCCCGAAAACACTGAACTAGCAAAAATTAAGTGGCGTACAGTTAAAACTGCCAAAATATTAAAAAAAAATAATAATAAACCCGAAAAGATCGGGTTCCCGAAAGAAAACTAACTATTTCGGAAACCCTGAATTTACCAAAGTATGGTTAAAGAAGTGAGACACAGTTAATACCCACAAATATTATGAAAAAAATAATTCCATAAGAGTCGTGATCACAAACCATTAATGCCGAAACACTGAAATTGCTAAGTATGATAAATTAAATGAGCTAATATGAAAAGTAGTAGTAATCCCGAAAGCACAACTCACTAGTCCCGAAACTCTGAATTTACCAACGTACTTCGGTAATGAATTTCTAAGCACGTAGCCAACTGTGAAGGCTTATGCGCGTTGATAATTTCATTAAACCGCTGTGAGGTAGTAAAAAAATTGCAATTCTCCAGAAGAATCAAAAATACCAGCACATCGTACTGCTAACAATAACATTGTAACACTTCACGTAGCAACTAGTGCTTTATTTTCAGTCGATTTTGTTTTTATTATGCTATTTCGTTAGTTTCTCTTTCGCAGTCAGTTCTCAGGTTTATTGTACTACAAAATTCATTGTATCTATGTATTTATAAGTGTACATCTGTATGTATGTATGTACATTTGTATTTTAAAGTAAGAAGCTCCCTTGCTCAACAAAGTTAGAAGCGTTTTTTGTGCGTTTGTCAGCCATTCGTTTTCTAAACTCCCAGTTATAAAGAAGTTTGTATGTATGTGCGTGACGCTTGACCGCTCGACACGTGGCTAAGTGTTGGGCAAATGGTCCTTCAACACTTCTGGTATAACTCGCTTACTTTTTAATTATATATATACATACACTCATACACATACAGAAAAAGTTGTAGTCGCAGCTAGCTGTCTTTGTTTCTTTTTTCACCACTATCCACTTTTCGTCCACTTTTGAGGTGTGCCCCGCCGTTACGCCCCTTCAATTGCAGTAGACGTCAAGTCCGACACGTCCTAGCCGCAGGATAGTTGAATTCTAACTGTTTATTTGGAAATTTCAAACGCTTTTCCGCATACTGATTTGGTCTTAACTTATCAACGCATTTTTTGTTTGTTGTGTTTGTTGTATCGAGTCTGTTGCTGCTTTTGGTTGTTTTAACCCGTTAATTATTACATTCGTGAATTTGTCCAAAATAATTATGACTCCCAAGGCTTCAGCGTGGATGCAAAAAAAAGGGTGAGCGTTTAGTTGTGGCAATAACTAATTATTTCGCAACGAATTCCATTGAAGTGCTGTGGGAATTTGGGAATTTGTGGAACTATACGTTTGGGCTTTTGCGGCGTATACGTAACCTCAATTAACTTGATTAAGTTTTTTTCTAGCGAAATTTTAGTTTGATTTTTTTTTTAGGAAAGGTCGTGAAATACGTACATCAAGTAATACTATTTTTATTAAAATAATTTTTTTTATAAATTCTTGTCTGAAATTTCACAAAATTTTGCGTATCTATTAATTTCGCTTAAATGGTTATACCTGCAAGTCAAAACAAACGCTTTCCTTTGGGAATATTTAATAATAAATAAATATTAGCGAGGAAGATTTTTCTCCTCAGAATTATCAAAACTAAGAACCCTTAAAAATTATTATTACTATAGAGGAATACAGGTAATAAACGTAGGATTAGCCAAAATTTTGATTTTTGACAAAATTACGATTTCCCAAAAACAAAATGTTTTTTGTGAAAAAATTTACACTTCAGAGTGGCTTTAAAAACCAAAATTATTATCAAAAATATTATTCCTTCAATCAATACCTGACAGATATATCTAAAAAGGTCGTGTGAAAATTTAAGCATTTTGAGAAAGCAGCTAATACGCTCATATCTCTGAAACTATTTGCTGGATCAACTTCAAATTGTCCAAGAATATTCTCAAATATATCACTGTACATTCGATATAAGTAAAAAAAATTTCAAATTCACAAGTGAATATAACTTTTAAAATTAGATACTAGATGTTATCAAATCTAAAAACCTATCTTTACATTGACTTTTGAGTCCAATGCACATGATTTCTGAATCGTAAACGCACCTAAAAATTCTAATATGTTTTTAATTAGTATTTTCGCGAATATTTTTAGAATTTTTAGAATTTCGCGGTTTATTTGATTGTTTGCTCCGTGCCGTCTTGAATGATTGAAGTACTTCTCCAGGGCGACCATGCTTGTCTCACCTTGTTCTCAAGAATATACTATGTTCTGAAGAATTATTCTATAAATTTTCATTGCTATCGAGTTGCAAAAGAACATTACTGCTAAAGTCAGCTAAGTGTGTTTTATATTGTCACAAATATAAAGTGGGGGAAATAAATTTTCATTTTTAAACAGTTTATTTAGATTCTAAATTATTTTGTTCTTGATGTTCTAATTTAGACATGCGAAAATCTTAAAAATTTAATTATGCGCTTAAAATATTAATATTAATATTAATTAAGTAAAAACAGTTATAAGATAAAGCTGCACTTTTAATTAGCTTATATTGAATTTAATCAATTTACCACTTTTTATTTGAAGACTTATGTAGAAGTAAAATTAACTTGATTGAAATTTTACATTTGCACCTTGAAAGATAATTTTTAGACTACACTAAAATGTTGCCTTGAAAAATATCTTCTTTTGGTTGTTCTGATAAATTTCATGTCGATAAATTATTGAGGTCGACTAACTTACAATTCTTCTTTAAGTGAATAAAAATTTATGCAGAATTGAAAATATTTGTTTTATAAATTTAGAAGAAGAACTTAGGTAAAAATTTCTAAAACTTAGAAAATTAAAGAGTTTTTTTTAATGCCGAGCACATTTTTAAATAAATAACTTGAAATCACTAGGAGGAAATATTATATTTTTTGTACCTATTACATACTTAACAACTTTAAGTTGATATTTTTACCGCATTCTATTGTTTAATATTTTTTTAACCTTAAAAACTTAATATTTGGTTTTTTATATTTTATTTTATGTTTACTTAGTTTAGTTTCGTATTTTATAGACTAATTATAATAAAAATTAAAAATATAACAATTTTTGATTTTTTATTGCTATTTATTTAGTAATTATTCATGGTAATAAACCTATTAATTCTTTTTGCATGAGCAGCTTAAAAAGTTTATTTGATGTAATTTTTTTAACATAATTTTAACACACTTCTAATAGCTTAACGTTTTTCAAAAATTGTTTATGGTTATGGTTCGTAACTAATTTTCTTGTTTTTTAGAAGAACATAAAAGTTTTTATATTTTTTAACAATATTATACATTTTAACATTTTAAGGATACTTTTATTTACATTTTAAGTCTAGTTTTTTATAGTTCTTCCCAAAAAATCCATTTTCACTTATCACAATTAATTTGGCATCGAAGTCAAGTCTTTTCACTTATATTGGCTCTTTTATGAAAATACGTTGTGTTTTGTTCAGAAAAAATGTTTTTGACACCTTTAGTTATCACTCAACTACATTTTAAAAATATTCTACTGCCCCCCACAAATATTCAGACTACATTTTAAATTAAAGCACTAATTTTTGGATATTATGGGTTTTAAAATTTCGTATTATTTTTACCTTTCACCCCCCACAACCAGATATTTATGAATATTTCAGCAATTTTTCAATAAGAGTTAATTTCACCAAATTCGCACTTAACGCGTATCCGCAATATCATTCAGTCCGTTATAATCATAACCGAAATCATGTATCCGCATTTATTCGCGCTTACTTCCGTACACTAGCGCTGTTCGTGGCGAAATGATGTTGCCGCCGCTCAGCCAACATTTCTTTGTGGTATATTTCGCTCAACTGAACTGCGGCGCTTACTCCAATGTCTGTCTATCTGTCCGTTCCAACGCTATGTTGTAGGCGACGTCACAACTAGCTATTAGCAGCGAGAGTCAAACAACGCGACTCGTGCCGTGCGTGGCTGTCAGCAGCCGGTGGTTGGGCTATGAACCACCCTCGCACTATCTTTACTATTGCTGCTGCTGCGACGCGCGTCACGTCATCACATCGCTCCAGTGTCTGTCTGGCAGCGTTGTGTCGTGCCGTCATTGTTGCTACTCTGCGTTATTTTGTCGCCTACGCCTTTCCCCCCCCTTGCTAATCGCTGATATTCATTTGTTGTTTTTTATTCATCTGCAATCACCGCCCTTATCATTTTTTCATGCAGTGAGTCAATCATATCCTGTTAGTTTAAATCTATTTATCTATTTTGCTTCTCGAAGGATTTGGTGTGTTGATTTCAAAGTCATAAATTAACATTTGTAATAAGTATGCATACGGTAAATTTTGTACTTGTAACAGTAACCACGTAGCAGTGGTCACTCATCACACACTTCCTATGAATAATAATGCGGCTGCTTCTTTTTCAAGATTTGGTAAAAAAATTTAAGTGAAGCTGTGTGCTCTACTTCGATATCTTTAATGCCCATTGGATGTGCCGTTGCTTAGTCCTCTTGCTTTTTTAGTTTTCCCATAAGTTATGTTAACCTCGCCAATATGTAAAAAGTTAGTTATAACAAAGTTTGTAATTAAGTGGTAAAGCCCTCTCATGTATTCTATGAAACAACTCAGAAGGAATGATCTCTTAAACTTGAAGAAGATAATTTTGACAAAATATATACACGAGTTGACGAAGGAAGTGTGAGCTTTTCTTAAGATTCAAAAAATAGAATAGAGATGGGTTGGGCCTCTTATGACTCTATATTTAAATAAATAAGTTGACTAAGAAAAAATGATCCTCTTCCATCTAAGGTCTAAGTAAAACAGAACATGAGAGCATTTGGTTAATGAATTTAAAAGCACTGTGTTAGTAAATACGACGGTAAGTACACCTTCGACTTGAAAATAAAGCAGGACCGCATAGTACCAATGATTTTAAATTAGACAAGTTTGCTAAGAAAGAGTGAGTTTTTTCAAGATTGACAAGGAATTTCTAGCAATTAGTGAAAATGTATTGTATGTTCTAATTAATTTATGAAATTAGATAAATATATAAAAATTTCAGAAATTAATTAGATGAGACTAAGATAAAAGACTATAAATTGTGGAACTATTGAACTTAAACAGAAGAAATTGCGAAAGATATATTGGGCAGAAGCTTTAAAGATCTGACATCTGTATTGAGGGAACAATATAATTAAAGGAGAATCGAACTTTCAGAAACTAGGCAAAAATAAGTGTTTGATATCGCTGATTTATTAAAAGCTCTGTCAGGAAAATAATTAATACAAGTACATCCTTGGACTCCGCTATATGCACAGCTGAAAAAGTAAATCAAAATCACAGCTGAAAAAGTAAATCAATTGTTGACACACATGTATATATGTATATATTATACCCTGAACAGCGTATATTAAGTTTGCTACGAAGTTTATAAACTCTGAAAGAAACGTCGGAGACCCTATAAGGTGTATGTAATATATGTACATATATGATTAGCATCTATCTATCTGTCTGTATATACGCGAACTAATCCCTCAGTTTTTAAGATATTGATCTAAAATTTTGCATACGTCCTTTTCCCCCCAAGAAGCTGGTCATTTATCGGCACCGTCAATATCGAACCACTAGATTAGTTTTGAGGTATGCACCGCGACCTATGGTCTATTGTGCCCATCGAACCACTAGATGATATAGCTGACATGCAAACTGATCGATTAAAGTTAATTTCTTGCATGTTATACTTTTTTATTTGATTAGATTTTTTCAAGAATTAGTCATGGATTATTGCTTAAGGCAACGCTTCAATTTCCGAATACATTTTTCAAAACGGACTTCTCTAGCATATAGCTGTCATATAAACTGACCAATCAAAATTAAGATAGAGATCTCCATAAAATATCTTGTTTTCTTAAAAAGTAAGCTTTATTTCACTGGAAGGTTTCTTATATCAAAAAACGTCGCTAGAACGAGACAGCAAAACATATTCCGTTTTAGATTTAGTTATACTTATAGTTGCTATAAGAAATGTACCTGTCAAGGGTATTAGAGCTTCGTCGCTTCGGCTGCAACTGTAAATATTTTAAAAATATCCTTGAACTCACTTTTCAATAGATTCACATTTACAAATATGAACTCATACAGCTTTGTACTTTATAAATTTTCATATTTGATTTTAAACATATCTACATATGTAACATATATGTATGCATATTGAAGATATATATTTCGTTGAATGCATCATGGCCCATATAGAGTATCCCCATCCATAGGATGTCATTTATAAAGTGTTGGCGACATACTTGAGTTCTTTTATTGCAAACTTTAACACAGACACACATATAAACATGCATACACAATTCTATGTCACATACATTCATACTTCGTTGGCTTGTGTGTACAATTATTTTTGTGGCATGTACAACGAGTATTTTAGTACCAACGTTTTTATATAAAACAAGTCAACAAGTGTGGAATGCGAAAATTTATGAGCGAAAAATATATGGGTCTCCACAATGCGTCGCAAACAACGTCTCAGGACATTATATTAACGCCGAGCGACAAATAGTAATAGTGACATTCCTTTGCTTGCTCTCGGATTCTTTTACGTATTCGCATTTAATTGCACTTTTACTTAAATTGGAGCAAAAATAGGTGAAGGGCGGGTGTACAGCCGGACGGTCGGTCGGTCGTCCGCGGGGCGTGCGCCGCTTGAGGATATAGCGGGTGTAAATGCTTAGCTTTAGTCGCAGCATAATTGCAGGAAGAACATAAAATATTAATTACACATTGTTGGTGGTATTAGAAATAATTTGCCAACATAGAGCGTGGAATTTTTCCAATTTACTTTTGTAAAACAGCAGTGTAATGGTAGAATTGTCCCTACGAAGCATACATCCGTGATATTACTATTTTTTATATGAATGCAATCGCAGCATATCTCTTCTATGTATGTATGTATGCAACTTAAGTTAGGTTAGTTGAACCCTAAGAAGGCGGAGGATCACACTACCTATAATGTCAGATAAAAACTCCTCTAGTTGGAAATTAAGTCTCGACAAACCTTGAACATATCACAAATCTGCTTTTTACGTTAGCATCTGGATGTCTACTATAGAAGTATGAAATCCGACATATTTTAGTCTTAATCTGGCAAAAGCGGGAAATGTTGCTGTCTCATCTTGTTCCAACTTCTTCCTTTTTATATAACCGGAATCCATTAAAATTTCCAATCTTACCGCATGAATCCCGATCGAACAGTGGCAGGTAGTCTCAATCTGGGGAATCTTGTGGACAGAGGTAATAAAATATTTCTTCTAGAAACACTTTCTACAAAAATACTTTGATATAATGCTCTAATAACTCAACTTTTAAAAGTCGATTTTTTAACCTTACAGAAGTCCAAGTTTCGGAACAACTTTAAACATAGTTAAAACCCAGACAACTTCTTCTGGCCGTTAAATGATATTCTTGGGAGATCAGAATTTCAGTGCTAATAAGAAAATGCAGTTACCTCGGTTCCAACTATCTGAAAATTAAAGTCAATAAAGGAAAATTCTACGAGTAGATTAATCCTTATTAATTTTCGGTGACCAAATTGTGGTTATTTATAATAACAGGACCGGGAAAAAGACCTATCAGTCTAATGTCTCACTATTTGAGAAAACTACGTCGAACCAGCTAACGCCGATTTTATTATAATGTGCTCTGCTAGAAAGTATTGTCTTAATCTTTAAAGTTATGATTGTCTATGAACTTGAGTCGAAGTGAAGGTTGCTGAACTATTAGTACGGTTGTTAAGTCCAGAAGTCCAGAAGTTCCAGAAGTTTCCAGAGCACACCTTGTATTTGTAGAATTTCATTTAGGACGGTTGTCGAATCGACACAGAAGGTACTTCCATACGCACATAAAGATTTCTTCATTAAAATAATTTCAGAAATGGGGACCACTAACTCTTATTAGATGCATAATCCCTAAAAATTTCGATCAATTACAAGGAAAGAGCTTAGGAGGCTTTCTTCTCACAATCATAACTCTAAGAGTCGGGATGAAGTGTAGTCACTTAAAAAAATCGATAAGCGAAAAATATCCCTCTTTCTCTGTGTTAGCAGACAAACTATTTGGGAATAGTATGCATCTTAAAAACCCGTGGAATGCAAATGCGGCCAATACCCAATGTAATGGAATTCAACGTTGAGTGTCTGAAAATTGTTTTTACGCTTTTTTCTAAAACAAATTCCCCACTCTTATCGGCTCATTCTTGAACTTTGGGGATGTTTTAGTTTTCGAAGCATTTTTTTAAATCTAAGAGAAAATAACAACAAAACCTATCGACTGCGAAAAGTACAAACGTGTTTGTAAGCACACCCAGTTCTATTTTATTTTTGGGTTCGCCTAATAGTAAGCAACAAAAAACGCAGTGCAAGTGCAGGGTGGAAATCCCGTTTCCAATCTAAGCGGTAGCTATATTGCCTTTCAATACTTTGCGGGCAATTGAGTGGTTTACTTTCTTTTTATATTGGCAATTCGAAGCGCGCTCCCCTCGATGGTATGCGCCGAAACTTTCACTGTTTGAGCCAGTTTAGTCGTGGTTGGGGATAATTACCATATTAAAATCTCTTTGCAATGTAATGCCTGTTTCGGTTGTTTTTTTTTTATTTTGCTTCGACCTACAAGTGGCTGCATAGCTTTTTCAGAACTAAGTTTATTTATGTACATCGAAATGTTGTAAAATTGTGGTTTAGTGAAGTGAATTTCGTTGAGTATGAGATATTGTAGCCTTCCAAATAGTGTTATTTCTTATCTTGATTTTTTCTCCAGAGTATTCAGTTGCTAATTTATATTTTTCTTAAACTTAATAGCTTAAAAGAAACCGTTCAAAATAATGGCTTACATTTCCTGTGCGTTCTGTTGTTGTTGAAGTATTAAGCTGCCTCTCTGACCTGACTAAGGGAGCATTTTACATGTCAGAAATATCGAAGGTCTAATATTGTTGGCGGAGAAATTGCCACTATAATTTTAGATTTAGCGTTAGCTTAGCGATGAACTCATCTATCTCAGCTATGACTTTCGAAAAATTATTTAACAATTATATATGAAAAAGTTCGAATTAGCCGTCTTCTTGAAGTAAAATGCGTAATTAGTTGCTAAATGTCAATGTAAAGTAGTCTAGGAGGTGTCGTTACATAGACGCTTAATAATAAATGTGAATTAAGACACATTTATACTCAGTAAAATGGTCGTAAAACATTCCACTGGTGCCTAAATTCATTACCACCTATTCCCATAAGTGATTACAGCATATTACTGTCTACTTCGGCTGTCATATCATTTGACTTAACCCCTAATTAAGTCTGTTGGCGTGCGGTGAAAAATATGTGTAGTCATACCTGGTTTAAAACTATTGTTCATTACACCATAGAAAGCTTGATAAAACTCGAGAATGAAGAAATCAATCCCAATGATCCAAGGATATGAATTTTTCGAGGCGATAGTTGCTACTAAGATATAAACCTTTAAAGGATATAATTTGTACGATTTAATTGAGCACCCATGGCTCATAATTTCCTATTACGACTTTTAAAATGATACAAATATATATTTAGATGAAGTAAAAATGAAATTAGTTAAGGATACATCATATCTAAGCCTATATATTACTGTTCGATTGCAATGCGAACTAATTTTTGTGCAGATTCTTAAAAAATAACTCCATTACCAAGGAGTAATATGTTAAGCTCCTTCCAGTAGATTAACCATAATTTTAGAACTTGTCGTGATCGGAATTTAGATCGTATGTTCCGAGCGGAAGTGAGTCAATTAACAACCAACTAACTTTTCTTAAGTCGAATATAATAAAATCTTCCAGCTCACCTAAGGGTTAATACCACGTTTTAATTAGTAGATTAGATAATAATACACTTTTATGCACACACATTATACAAAATAGACAGCTAATGTTTGCTGCTTTTGCTAAATGAGCAGAGGATGCGAGAATAGAAATACACCCTGTAGGAAATTTTATATCTTCATATGTTTTTTATATTGAATATATTCTTCCGCCATCATAAGGTGATGGCAATGTTCTATAACAGTAATAATACCTATAATTCGAAATAACTTCGAAAATGACGAATTTCTTATAAAGTACGCGGGAATTCTAATACATTTTACTGTACTGAAACTTACAGGATTTCTGTAATTAACATGAAATCGGAGGAATATAAACTAAATATTCCTACATAAATATATCGTACAAGAATACCGACTTGGTATGCTGTGAGGAGGAACACAGTTAAGACGCGATCTCTAGCCCACTTAAAGTCACTCCCTATATAACGGTACTGTTAAAAAATACTAAAAGCGCGATAAACCAAGCACTAAACACACCAAAGACATTAAATTTTATCTCTACAATGGTATGAGATGACTTTATAGAAACCGCGTTCAAAATTGGTCAGTGGGAGTGGCACCGCCCACTTATAAGTGAAAACCCATATCTTGGGATCTGCTTAACCGATTTCAACCAAATTTGGTACATAATATTCTTTTCATATTATATCTATGTTATAATGCGAAAATGGGCGAAATCGGATTACAACCACGCCTATTTCCCATGTGACACCATTTTAAGTTTCATCTGATTTTTTCACTTTCCAGTATGCAAATCAAGCAACAATGATTATATCGGGGGAAAACTTTGCGTGAATAATATGTTTAAAATATGCCACCTTGTGACCAAAAATTGTCTAAATCGAACCAAAACTGTTCAAGCCCCTAGATACTGAATATGTGAACCCCCAGTATAGTTGGCCTTCTACCGAAAATATCGGTCAATCCACAAAGAAATCTCAAACGACTTTGCGAGAGTATAAAATATTCGGTTACATCGGAACTTAGCCCTTCCTTACATGTTTCTTATTGTGATAATAAATTCATGACGGATAGCGTATGGAGTACGGATTCTTTGATACTTATCCCACGCATTATAATAAACATTTCTTAAACTTACCTACGGGGTATTTATATTATATCTATATTTGCAAGTGCATATCTGTTTACACCTTCAGTGTCATACTTCATATGTCTGTATGTGTGTATAACATATTCACAGTTGTTTTTGGCAGTTTTAGGTCAAATTTGTGCTCAAATCTACAATAATGGGAAGTTAGTGAGAAATTCATCAAACTACTTATTACTTTGGCATTTATTAATTGAGTTACACGCCGACTACGCATGTACATATGTATGTATTTGTAGTTAATTGTGTGGTAAAAAGGATTAATTAACAGCGTGCCACTTTATTTACATATTAAACAACCAAATTTAGTAGTGCCGCACAAAAATAAACAATATAGATAGATACTATGTAATGGAAGGGTCACGTGTAACTTTGTATTGAGGGAGTAATGTCAAGTTCGATAAAAAAATGTTTGATTGAATGTATGTATATAATGGATGCATAATAGTGTAGATAAAATTTATCTAAATATGTATTACATTGTAATGCATATTAAGATTACAGCAAGTGTAAATGTTTACATACACTCAACATTCATTATGCTAAAAAAATTAATTTAGTTTTAATACCATTTTTATTCGAGTTTTTTCACTTTTTTTCATTAGTGTACAAACTCATTACAGTATTTAGTAGTCTATTTGTGCATTGCGTACATTAAATATTTATTACTGTCCTACTATCTCTTCTGCATGTCCCTTTTTAACTCGGCCAATGACATTTCCACCGAAATGTATTTCATCGAAAACTACATATATTGTACTTGCGAGAAGTCAAACGGCACCCACTTACATGTAGCGCATTGTATACAAATCGATCAATCCGCCATCCGCCGGGATTTACAAGTTAATCATTTAACGGTCAAACAATGTGGCGGGCGCGCGCCTTAAACATCAACTGCCTTTTTTTCTTTGCGCGGCCTTTTACGTGCTTTTTGTTTTGCTCAAACGTTTTCAGTCCATCGTTCAGCTCAGCTGTGTATCGTGAATCAGGTGAAATGATGCAATGTTGACAAACAACATTAAACGCGCTCCTTTCTGTCCTTTTTTTTTTGTTTTTAGTTTGAGGGCGTTGTACTTTACATACTCGTAGTTCGTCACAGGAACTAGGCAACATTAACAGCTGAGTAAAAGCGTATTGAATTACTAGGAGCAGGCATTAAGCGGATTGCTGCTATAAAACTGGAAAGGGTTTTTGCTTAAATTTGACTTACGAGGGCGATCCGATAAGAACTTAGTCTCACCGTCCATGGACATCACTATCGCAAAAGATAATTATTTTGATGCTGTCAAAATTCTGCCGAATTAGACTCGTAGTTTTGTTTTGACCGCGCGTTGAAGTGGGTATGTTAGCGGGTAGAAAATAGCAATATCGATCTGTAATTCGATTCTTGTTTTTGAATAAAAATTGCACAGTTAAATTAAAAAGCGCTTGGACGGTAAGATTTTTCGTTCGATGGCAACCCTCAAAGTTTTATTTAAAGAGTTTCTATGTGGTAGCGCGTCGGTTTTTGATAAATCCACGCTTGGCTGCCGTGGAAACGGATACTACAAAGGATAATGATGCAACGGTCACGATCTCATATTGACAGCCCATTGATGATTGAGGGTGCACGTGGTTCATATGCTGTATGAAATATTGAAAATGGGAAGTCGGCGCTAAAGGTGCGACATTTGCTCACTTTCGATAAAGGTGGAACTGTGAGATCACTTTACAGTATTGTTTTACGCTATTTAAGAGCAATTCGAAAGAGTTTTTTATATCGTTTTGCGACAGAGGACAAAATATATCCAGGGGATAGACACTAAAGAGCAAGAAACATTCGAAAGAGTGGGCTTCACCCGACGAACCGCCTTCGAAGGAACTGAATTCTGTCCAAGCGGCCAGAAAGGCGATGGCCAACGTTTTCTAGGATTCACAAGATGAGATCTACACCGAGAGCGAAAGACTCTACCATGCTGAATTATTATACAAGTATTAGGCCAATTCGATGCCGCATTGTCGAAAAATGGGCCCATGTCAGATTTAAAGTGCCTATACTTCAAGACAACGTACCGGCTCACCCGAATTGATCGAATTAGGCTACCAATTGCTGCTCATATATATCATCCCGTCGGTATTCCTTGAAGATAGCAAGGAGTTTTGTACCTCAGGTTAGAACTAGCCGCTTTATCCACGTTGATGCTAGTGTGCCTCATCTCATCATCATCAAGAAATCTGAAGTATATATGTTAGACATGAGCTTTAAGCTTTAGTTTCTTTACCATTTTTCTAGTTTTAGCTAGAGTTTATTACAAATAATCCATTAACAAATTAATTTCTTCATCACATGTAATATTTTTATTTTCGGTATTTTTTATTTTTTGTTATAACAATTGTAATATGATTACTTCTTTAATTTTTATATACTAACTAATGTTTCGCTGAGTTAAATTCTTTCGAAATTGTATCAAAAATGTTATCAAAACTATTGTAACGTATTACACCCCTTCCACCATCTTCCCATGCAGCTCCATAAGACCCTGTAGGAAAAATAGAAAATATTTAGTCGCAGAAGTGTATTTTGTACTATTAAAATTTTTTGCAATATAAAAAACAATTGAGCATATATTATATAACTAGAGCGATGTAAACACTGATACAGTAAGGGGTTTTTAGTTCATCATCCTCAACTTTTAATATCTTTATCAAAAAGCTGGAGTATATCGAAAATAGGCGATTCCCTGATACTCTTCGAACCGAGGATATTACAATAAAATGAGTAGTCTTTTTTCAGCATAGTTTCAATTGCAAATCATTTTATAAACCCATGCTTTTCTAAATGCTTTGAACATAATTCTGAATGTTTATTCATATTCTACAACTAGCTAGCATCTGAAAACTTGATATGTATATGCTGTTTTTGATTAAAAGTTTAATTGAAATGGTAAAAGTATATAATATATAAACTCGACATATATATACTACTCTATATCTATAACTTACATACATACATATGTATACATATAATAATTGCCGCTTAAACCTCAGTTCGACTATTTTCAAATTTTTAATCGGCACTACAACAAGTAGTGGAGTTCACCTGAATTTAACTAATAATTTTGACAAAATACTAGCAGGCTCTTGCTAGAGAGAGTATCTGCTCTAGATCCTTAAGCAATAACTCAGTATTATTTCAGGTATAAGTATTAAATCAAACTTTCATATAAAAGCGTCAGCTACAATTAAAAAACCTAATGCTTTACGTTCAATTCTAGAGATGTTAGGGTACTATGGAATTCTTCACTATTGAGTTTCTACGAGAACCTTCTTTGTGACATTGGACTTAGTACTTTGCACATAATATTTATGATGCTTGAAACACCCAAAGGGAAACGTCGGAGACCCTATAAAGTATATAAGTATATAATTTATCAGTCGATTTAGCCATGTCCATCTGTCTGTCCGTCCGTATTTACGCGAACTAGTCTCTCAGTTTTTGACATATTGGCCTATTCATTTGTCGGAACCGCCGATATCGGACAACTATAGCATATAGCTGCTATACAATTGACCGATCAAACTCAAGTCCTTTTATGAAAACTCTTTTATTTGTCAAGGTATCTTTCATGAAATTTTGCATAGATTATTATCCAAAACATCGCTACGATTTCCGTACATATTGCTCAGATCGGACCACTAAAGCCTATATCTGCCATCCAAATTGACCAATCAAACTCAGATTAAATAGCTTTTTATACCCTTTTATGCTATAAGAAATCCAGATGTCAAGGGTATTATAGCTTCGGTGAAACCAGAGTTAACAATTGTTCTTGTTTTTTTTTAATCCATTGGTAAACATTTCGTATCTGCAGTAACACAAAATTAGTTAATTTTAAAAAAAATACATACACATTGATACCATAGTACATTAGCTGGATCAATTCATTGCACGTTTAACTCAGCTTCCTCTCCAATCATTTTTTCATGTACATCTCGGAGTATACCCTGGTATTTTAAAAATATACATACACATATGTAAACTTTTTTAATATACTCGTATTTTGTAAATATAAGATATTTACAAAAGAAACTAGAACAAATAACTGTTAAAAATTAGTGGCAACTTGCGACTACTGGATTACTATACAGATCACTATGGTATTTTGAATTAAAAATGTTCTCTCGAACGAGATTGCTATGTTATAAAGCATTGTATACAAGCCTCAAACAACCAATACTAACTACCTCTAATAAATTAGAAGAATTATTTTCTTTTATCAGACACCATTATTAGAAAAAAAGAGAACCAACACCAACCAGTTTTCCCTAATAATACAACCAAACCATACGAGTATTCCAAAAATATATGCATTATAAATGTATGTGCATAAAATTAAAAAATATCTCGTAATTAAAAAATGTATTCAATATTTTACCTTAAAATACTTCACCGTCTTAACCCTTAACTCCAGCGTGGCATCCTCATCGCAAAGCATTAACGTATTGGGATGTTGCTGGAAGGCACTCACTGTCCACATATGATTTACACCCTCCTCGATTGCCTTGTACAAGGCGAATGCCTTGTGCGCACCCGTAATCAATATCATCACTTCCTTCGAATCCATTACCGTACCGACACCCACGGTCAGTGCCTGTTTGGGCACCTTACTCATGTCGTTATCAAAGAAGCGTGCATTTGCCTCCAATGTGTCCTGTGCCAATGTTTTCACACGTGTACGTGAGACCAACGAACTGCCAGGTTCGTTAAAAGCTATATGTCCGTCCGGTCCGATACCACCAATAAAGAGCTCAACTCCACCCGCTTCCCGAATCATGGACTCAAATTGTTGGCATTCGGCAAGTAAGTCCTTGGCATTGCCATCCAGAATGTGCGCATTCTTGGGATCGATATTGATGTGTTTGAAGAAATTATTCCACATGAAGTAGTGATAGCTTTCGGGGTGATCACGTGGTATGCCTTTGAAAAGTATTATAAAATTTGTATAACAGAATTTCCACTTTCTCAAAGCTCGTTGAAATGATGACATTTACTTACCTACATATTCGTCCATATTAAAAGTTTTCACAAACTCAAAAGACACTTTGCCAGCTTTGTGGAATTCAATAAGTTTCTTGTACATGCCCAGAGGCGTGCTTCCGGTCGGTAGGCCCAAAACGAAGTATCTGTAATTTAAAGAAAAACCAAACGTATAATTTTTCGTTCCTCTATGTCTCACCTCTATAATCTTTTCATTTCATCCGGATATAAACTAAATATCCAACAGGGTAAAAAAAATATTGGGTTCTTGAGAAATCTTCCGTCATTTCCCATTAATTTTAGTTTGCGAACTTTTTATTTCGAGAATACTGCATTGGACGGTAGTGATTACTTCGAGACCGACCATACGTATTAAAGAATTATTGTCAACCAGCTCTGGTTGTAAACGGTCTTACATGAAGCCATCATCTATGTTTCAATAGTGGTAGTGGTTTGACTTCATAAACAGGTATTGAAAGTTCCTTTGAAAATTGCTCGGTCAAAAAGCTCGTTATTAGATGTGTAAGATGTTGGACGACGTCAAAGTGTTTTCCTATTCAAACAACAACAAATTCCTGCCTAGGAATGACATAGTTTATGACCAGTTTGTGATTGATCATGTCTATTGGTGAGTTTCGTTTTGTATTCGGTAGGTTAGAATATTAGGCTTCTAAGTCCTTACCCAAGTAAATCGAGCTTTGTCCAAGCCGACTTAAATCACATAGTGCTGAAGTCATGCCTCCCTTTTTCTCTATCCTTTATCCTTTGTTAATTTTAGGTTCTCTTTTAGTTTAGTATATGGGAGTTTGTTAAATAATTCGACAAAGATACTCACTTGTTTGGGCCGGGCTTAAAGTCATTAATGCGTTTCATCACATATTTAGCAGCCCAAACTCCAACTGAGTCAGCAGTATCCAAGATCACTAACTTCATCTTAAGTTACTGTAAATACAAGAAAGACTAATCAATTTTATAATCAGATATTAGTATTGCTTTATAAATAGATAATTAATTTTACATTGTGGCAACACTGTTTTTTTAAATTTTGTAAACCAAAACAGAGAGTACATTTCCTGCGCTATTAGTTTTAGTGCTTCTAACCACAAGTCGTCATGAAATACCCTACGTTTGTTTTAAAGAGCATGAAGTAGAAAGTGGGTGGGTATCATAAAAGTTCACACAATAAACACAAACATACTTGTAATCTACATTTGAATTCACTTGAAAATAAAATACAAACAGTTTAGCAATGTTAGCAAATACATTTTTGACCTAGCCTCATTTCTCATTTGTGCTGTGTTCAAGGGCTTAAGAGCTTTTATGATAATCATTTTTATGACGGTGGATTCACATGATCTGACTGCTATTAGAAGAAATTTACTTTTTCCATAATTTTAGCCAATTCTCATACACAGAATCTACTTACTTGAAGATTATACGGATTACCATATATTCTTACTTCATGATATAGAATAACTGTTATATATGACTGAACTCAATAGCGGTTCTGTCAATCATATTTAAGTACCCTTGCATAATAAAAAATAAGAAAGTCGTATTTAGTTTGAAATCGCCGCTGATCGGTAGGTGGACAAATCCTCTATAGAACCTTTTCGAAATTTTCCAAACGACGACTACAGTACGTTCGATCTTTGTTATAAAAATGCAATTTATGACTAGAGGGTATAGTTTGCCACAAAGCTTGTAATACCCAGAAGGAAACGTCGGATACCTTATAAAAAAATATATATATGATCAGCGTGACTAGCTAATCCGATTGAATTGAAAGAAAATGCTTTAATTTTCCGAAAATTTATTATTTTTATAAATCATCACTTGTTTGTTGATACGGCAGCACTGATTTTAAGCATTCACTCTACAACAGCATTGACAGAATGCAAAGCAAATTCTCACATGCATATAGGTGAGAGCCAAAATCACCAGCCACAAGTGGTTGGCGGTAGGAAGGATTGTTCGGCAAATGATAAACTCAGAGATACATGTACATATGAATTTACACATACCATATGTTTATGTATGTATATTTTCGTCTATATAAATGCATATTTGCAGTGGCTCGTTTGTAAACAAAAAATAATTCATATATATGTGCATATGTATGTATTTCTTTTTTTATGTAAATTATTTCAATACGCATGGGCGATGCTGCGAGAATAATAAATTTTAATCAAAAAGGAGTTAACAAACAAAAATACACGAGTTTTTTCGCTGTTATCAATAATGCCCTCATTTATACACGATAATAATTTAAGTACTTGTATAAATTTATAAATTTATGTGCGTGCGTGCATACACACATACATATTTATGTATATGTACATATGTTTGTAATACTTTGCAAGTCAAGAGCGTCAAGGTAATTGACCTTTTTCGTTGTAGAATGTCAGAGACAAGTCACAAATAGAGAACACCAGCTGGTGACGACAACTGGACGTTGCATTTACATACATACATTTGTAAACGTACTGAGAAGATAAAAAAAATTTTGACAATTTCAGACTGCTTTCACAAATTTTTGACTTAAAAATTGTATAATATAATATATACATATATGCAATATTTATTGTTGTTAGCACTTTGCACTACGTACTTTTTATATCTTAGACTATATACGGCAGTATATGGTATTTATGTCTATGGCAGGTTACGCTTCTTCGAAATGAACACTTTTGGTTTGCTTTCAAATTTTCAAACTAAATTTTCACAATTTTAATTGCAATGTACTACTTAGATATTTTTTATAAGTTGCAAAACAAGATAATTGTTTCTATTTGTTCTAAAATTTGAACAACCGCACTCTTTGCCACTGTTGTGCTCAGTGCGAACAAAAATTATAGTCTAAAAGCCGATTGGAATCGAAGCTCAGCAATCTAACCGAATGCAATGAACATACATGCATATCTAAATATAAATATGCCACCGCAAAGCAACCGGCAAATAAATTATATTTTCTCCTATATATAAGTAGTATGTATGTATGTATATGTGTAGGTACCACTAGGGTGATCGTATTCATTTATGAAATTGTTATGAATAACTAGAATTAATAAATAATTTGTTTTTGAATAAATAGAATTAATAAATAATTTGTTATTAATTCTAGTTATTCATAACAATTTCATAAATGAATACGATCACCCTAGTGGTACCAACTAACAAATTTCAGGGTCTCTCATTTGTCACAAGTAGTCACAAATTTTTTAGGAATTATTTTCGCCTTAGCTTTCTTCAATAGATGAAATTATATGCAAATTTATAAATAAATAAATTAATTAACCGAACATTTTTTTTACACAAATCTATATTGTCGGCTTCAAAATAGTCTTCTTTTGAGCAAATACAAGCTAGCTCCACACAGTTGGGATAAGCCTCGGCTGGGACGACCATCAGGGCTTTCCGCGAATTTTTTATTTTTCGGTTTTGGCTCATTTTTGGAAATTCATTTGGACAGTTTCAACGTCATTGTAAGGTCCTCAGCTACATTGTCAAGCATGCCTTTTGCGACCTCTTCTCGACGTCGTTTTTGCAAAAGAATCAGGCCTTTTGTACGAGTCTAGCATTAACATGGTTCATACCCACAACACTAACCAAAATTTGTTGAGTCGATCCAGAAGAAACGCTGGGATCATCTGCTATATCTCTGATGCTAATACGATGATTATCAAGTACAGTTTCTTTAACCGTTTTTCGATGTTGTGGTCATTAACAGAGATGGATGGACGACTCGCATAAGGCAAAGTATATAACATAGGCTAATCGTTGGGCTAACAGTGACAAAACGTTTTGGTCAAGCATTCAAAATGGACGTTTGTTTACAATTTAGTCTCCTCATTTCAGTGAAATATTTGTCCGGCGAGTTATTTTTGAGTCTGGGATTCCCCTGATGGTTTGGGGTGTAATTTCTTGAATATGCTATATAAGCTGAAAGACCCGTAGCGTTGTTTTGTCGGGAAAAAAAACCAAACTTAGTTTCCTAAGACAAGGATACAGATTTTTTGTAGAGATTTTTTGCTTTTGGATATATCTCGGTCAGCCTGAAAATTGTTAAGAACATATCCTGAAAATATTTCAATCATACATGATATTTTTTTTGTAAATACTCAAAGTTTTGCCAGATGTATAGCCAAGCATCGACTCCTATTTGTTGTGATGAAATTGATATTATTCGTAACCTGTATTTATTCCTTAATTCTTTTTAAATTTATAACGAATTTTTCAAATATTATTTTGACGTAGAACTCGCTATCCCTAATTTGAGGTACAAAAGCTTTATAGCTACGAAGAGAGACACACGAGCCTGTACTCTCATATACATACATATATACGAGTTTAACATGTGGTTAACAGCGACTAAGTAAACCTTTGCGTTATTATCGAATTATTATTCAACCAGCTGATAGGCGATAAAAGCGAGGTGTGTTCAAAAAATAGCAGGAATTTTCGTTTTTTGAAAAAAATATTTATTCATTCGTATATTTTATGTTGTCAATTTTTGAGATAGCCTTTAGCTCTTACAGCGATTTTAGTCTATCTTGTAAAACGACGGCCCTCAACGGTTCTCTTTATTTTTGAAAATGGGAAAAAATCACACAAAGCCATGTCTGGTGAATATAGTGGCTGGGGCATCGTTTCAGTATTGTTTATGTATTCTTTTCACGAATAAATTCGTTTATCCATTTCTTTTAACAAACTAAACTCGCCAAGCTCATAAAAACACGTCCAATTTAGCGGCTGCTACAGACAAAGGAACATAAAAAAAAATATGTTTGACAACTGCAGTCTTCAAAACCACAAAATTTTAAATTTAAAATGTCCCGTTATTTTCTGACCACATTTAATTACATCTATGACACTTTCGTTTAAAACTGAAACTTTTCAATAATTATAAGGAAAAAAAATACGAAGAATTCTAAACATACATACATGTAGAACTTAGGAGAATGTTTTATGCCTCTAAAACAACAACAATATATTACGTAAACACTCAGTAAAATTCGTCAATTGACACTGCGCTTGCGTCTTGTATGTGGGTCCATATATCTCGTTGTTGTAACAGCTTAAACATATCTGAAACAATGTTGTGTAACTCTTCTGAATTGAAACTTACCTTTATAAATCAGCACTTCCTGAGCCTCCAATTACATGCCCCAAATTGTTGTACTCCGAACTAATGAATGAAAACACATGTTTGTTTTTTATATTTTCTTTTATTAAAATATTGATTGACAACTTTGTTTTATACGAACACAGGGAGAAACAGAAATTTTGATTGTTGTAAAAAATTTGTATAAATTTATCTTTGCAAATACAAGTCGAAACGCATTTTGCATATTATAAAATTATTGAATGATCATAAAGTCAATTATAATATTTAAATTGAATATAATTAAATTAAATTACATTGATTAATTCTAAAACATAGACGTAATAATGTAAACCGTTTTTGTTAAGGAAACAATTTATTTTGTTGAACTTTTCGGAATATTCTAAAAGCGCGTAGAACTTTCAAAACGAAAGTGCAAACCGCTTTTAACTTTTTTGACGATAGTTATCTTTTTTTTCTTTCCTTTTAATGTGGTAAAATGGTTGACCGTTTGAGCGTGAAGAAACACAAATTAAATAATCTTTACTGATTTTAAACGTAAAATATGGAAATGCAACGCATGAAAGATTTGAGTACAATACACATAGTTATGAAAAAATATTTATGTACCATATTTACCTACTGATAATGCTGCTTTAATTTCGAAAATCTAAAAAATTTAATTAGCTGCGCCAGGAAAGCAAGCGTAGACGCTTGGAGCCGCTAGTATATTGTGAGAAATTAAATAAATATTTTTTCCGTTTTTTTTTTTCTAAAAATAGTTATGTTTTCTTCTAAGTCAATGTTGACTAATATGCATAGCAACAAAGTCCGGAAAAGTAGCTTAAGCGCTATAAATTTCACAAATGCTACACATATAAGACGCCATTAAAATATTTCTTTTAGCTTCCGCCTTATTGTATTTTTTTTTACCATTTCAACCTACAAATATAATATATCTTTCAAAATTTTCTTCTAGATTTTTATAATAAAAATGTGCACTTATTTTTTTTGTCTCTTTCATCAAAAAAAAGAAACGTGTATTACACTGTTAGTTGCGAAATTTTCGAGTCTTTTTTTGTTTTGTGTGTCTATTTTTATTTGTACCTCAAAGTTCCAAATTACCAGAAACTATAACCATAAATTTGTACATTTTTAAAGCAAGAAAAAAACTAAATTTATACTGTTAGTAATTATGGCAGAAAAGCATGTGCGCTTTCCTTGTACTCTTTGATTGATGTTATGATTCAGTTCGAATTATTGTGAACGCTAATACACACACACACACATAACAGATATGGAAAATATAAAAATGTTTTTGCTTTCTCTTAAAACACAGTGCATGTTTTTGTTGTTGTCTTTTTCAAGCCTTTAATTGTTTAGAATTAGTGCCACAATACTTAACTGTCATTCAGATATATGTATGTATGTATATAAAAAAAAAAAAATGTATTATAATTAGTGCAATTAAACTAGGACCTAGATGCTGGCGACACTATAGCATAATGTAAAAAACAAATAGTAATATATGTATGTAGTTATGAGAGAAATTAAGAAACGTCAGCTACATTTGAAAATTCCAAACATAAGAATGATGGCAAGCAGTGAAATGTTTATAGCGTCAGCACAAATGACACGCGTGACTGCATGTATGGAAGTGTGTGTGTGCGAATTTAATTGTATATGAATGTACTTGTGTACCCTGCTGCAGGAGTTTTTGGGTTAGACATTGCTGTGATTGTTATTATTGTTGTTTTGTGAAATTCTTGGTCTGCGCTCGCTTCAAGCTTTTACTTTTGAAATGTTTTTCAACCAGTTAAAGAACATTAAAAATATATATATATATAGTAATCTTTTGTAGTAATTTTATATATTAGGAGTTAATTTGTTCTGCACACCTACATGTTTACATTAAACGACACTTTTCATCTCCCTGCTGCGGATCGCCTTGCTGATGATATAGTTCTTCATTGCCGACACCATCTACTGTTGATACGCCCAAACGGCTGCCATAGGAGCGATGACGCGATGCGTGCTTCACAATTGTGCGTTTTACACGTTCTGAACCGGCCACTTCCTCACCCTCACCATTGAAGAGTGATGTCTTCATATTGTCGCCCACGAACCATTTTTGTGTTTTCATCACAATATTTGCTGGTGGTTCGTGCGACGCGCCAGCATCGGAAGACCATACAGTTATCACGGCACCGGCTTCCACTTTGACGGTACGATGAAACTTGAAAGCGGTTTCATTACTGCCGGCGGTACGTATCAGTTGCCAACCGCCGATTTGTATCTCCTTATTACCTTTATTGTGCAATTTCACGTATTTACCCTCCGCATCGACTTCGGAAATTTCAATTTCGCCTTTGGCGCTACCAGTCACAAAATATTCAGATTGACTCAGATCCTCGGACTCATCGACGATGGTGCGTTTTCTTTTCAGCGGCACCGTTGAAGCGCCACGTGATGGTGTCTTGCGTATGGGAGTGGCACGTGTGCCACGTAAACTTTGACTAAACGAACCGGATGCAGTGGACGAATGTGGTGTGATGTTGAGACGTGACTCTTCGCCACACAGCAATTTGTCGTAAGCGGCAATTTCCAAATCTAGCGAAACCTGTTAAGGATTAAAAGTTAATATTTAACTTCAAATATTGCATACTACTGCAGTTATTTACCTTAATGTCCATTAAATCTTGGTACTCCTGCAATTGTTGTGCCATTTCATCGCGCAAGCGTTGTAATTCCGCCTCCAAGTTCGATATATCCGCATTGTGACGTGCACGTTCGCGATCCAGCAATTGCTCTAGCTCGCGTATGCGTGCCGTTAGCGCAGCATTGGTCGACTCTAATTCGCCGATGCGTGAGTTGAGCGCATCGATGCGTGTACGTATTGTGCGCAATTCTTCGATAGCGTTTGCAGCAGCATTCGAGTTGCGATTGGCTGCCGATTGTAGATTCTTCATTTTTTGTTCGTACAAGAGCTCGATCTCTTCACGATTAGCGCGCATTTGACCTTCATATTGTTCACGCAATTCTTGTAACGATTGTTGCAATTTGGCTTCGTATTGTTCGACCAAACGTCCGTCAATTTCGCTTATTTCCACCTGGCGGCGACTGCGTGTTTCATTAATTTCCTGTATGTGTATCTGATCTTTGAATGTCAACTCTTCACGTAGACTTTGTACATTATTCTCGAGATCGACGCGCGCCAATGTCTCTTCTTCCAAGAGTTTACGGGCTTCCTCTAATTGTTTGCGCAAACGTTCCAGCTCTTTGTTAGCCTCATTCAATTCATCGACAGCCTTTTTGCGATCTGCATTAGCGGCACTATACTTATTGCTCAAATCAGCAGCGCGTGACTCATACATGCGGGCATTTCCTAAAATTTATTAAAATATCGACATTCCATTAGTGGTTAAAACATCATAAATAAATTTGTAGAATATTTATGCAAATATATAGTAGTAAAATTTAAACACACAATCTCACACTACTGATAAGCACAAATGAGTTGCTACAGCTATTATATATACTATATACATAAATGCATGACTTCCAAATACCTTCAGCGAAAGTACAATCTTTTGTTTTCTTATCTAATTTAGCCTTAAGCTCCTCATTCTCATCCCACAAACGCTTAGTATCGATTTCCAATTTAGCCTTTTCGCGTGCAGTTTCATCCAGTAATCGTCTCGCATCACTCAATTCGTTTTCATACATCGATTTAATATTGGTAGCCTCACGAGTGACAGTGTCACGCGTCGTTTGCACCTCAATCGAGAGGCGTGCATTTTCATTTTCCAAATTACGTACACGATCAATGTAGCAGGCCAAACGATCATTAAGATTCTGCAACTCAGCCTTTTCTTGTAGACGCGAATGTCGCGTAGGACTTAAAGGGCTGGCAGACCGATTACCACCAGGAATTATTGGTGTTGATGTTCCACCTGGCTGCGGTTGGGGCGTGGCTGTTCCGGCGCGTTTTGATTTAGTAGCCATCGTTTACAATTTTCGATCTGCAATCTAAAATTTGATAATCAATACAAGCACGCACAGATGTATTGTATATATGTTTGGTAATATTCAAGTTTAAGCATTGGTCTATTTGTACACAAATTATTTTGCCGGTGCTATGGGGCTATGTAATAGTCATATATCTAAAGTTTGTAATTAGAGTTGCCAATTAAACGAATTCAGCGATCCGTGGTATGTAGAATTGTGCTTAGCTCGTTATACACAGATATACATATATATAAATTCATATATATTTTAAAACGAGCGGAGATTTTCTACTGACAATTACAAACTTACAAAATCTTTTTATTGTTGTTAATATTACTTTAAGTAAAAAATTACTAATGTAATATTTGGACGCGCCGAACTACATAGCTCTTACATAAATCTCAATATACAAAATTTCTATTTTTAGTATTCTTGTATGTAAACAAATTCGCTAACGCTATTTTTTTTTTAACGAAAACACCAAAAAATTTCACAATATTGCGTTAAGTCTGGCATCGCCCATAGAACGTGACCCTTTATAAACCTAAAAAACTTACGCGCCGATTTTCTATTCTCGTCACGGCGACTGTACTAAATCCCCCCGGCCTATGTTATGCGGACGCCTATCACAATAATCTCAGTGACCTTTCTTTTAGTCTAAATTCGGATATCAGGGCCCAACACTTAAACATTATAATGCTTTTGGATTTATTTCTATTTATACTGTCCAAGCAATTCTTTCCATTTTCAGGCATGCGAACCGCCATTGCTACACTTTCTCCACGCCACCATATTCTTCGGCAAATGGTTATATTCAATTAGCTGAATATATTTACATGATAATTAACCGCACACCCCTTAAATTAGAAGCACTAGGATTACTCAATACATTTCCAATACGCACCAAATATTTAATATAAATTAATTTATTGTTTTATTAAAAATTAAGAACGTTCACTAGCAAACGCACTTTAATCGTCACAAAATTACACTTCGTTGTTGGAGGTTATACAGAATTATACTGAACTGTCAGTTACGACAAAAGTGGCGTTTCGTTAAGTCAGTGATGCCAAGTTCGCACAAAGTTCGTTTCGTTTATTCGGTTTTCCACGCCCTCTTTCTATTTTCATTTTATTTATCTTATAACACCTTTCGTAAATATTATTTTTTTTGTTCCCCTTTTGACATTTTTTTTTATTAATTTTCATCAACAATGCACTTGTGTCTTTTACTTAGCATATTTTAAATGCTTATAAAAAGTGCAAGTAAACAATATACCAAAAATGTATATTTTGACAACAATTTCTTGCATCACTTTTTTGACTTTCTTGTATTGTGAATTTTTGGCGGACTTTTTACAACTCTCACTGTGTCAATGGCCAACTCTAGGAACAAAAAGTTTAAAAAAGGAAATTGAATTAAGAGCCATGATAATTGCAGACACCCATCTAATTGGCCCCATACATGGCCACTGGCTAGACAGAATATATAGGGAATGGCATATGCATCGGAGTTTTCAGGTAAATTGCTTAACTAAATGAAAGCAATAACTTACTATATCGAGTTACGAAAATTAAGGCCTCTATGCGTCTCTTCGAACCAGAGGTGGTTTTTGTGTTGGGTGATCTCTTCGATGAAGGAGATATTGTTACAAGTCGTGATTTCGAACAATATGTTGAACGCTTTCATCGGATTTTTAAGACACCAAGTAATGTGCCCATTATTAGTGCTGTGGGCAATCATGACATTGGTTTCCACTATAAGTAAGTGTTAAAATTTGTATTCTTAATACCCATTCTAACATACAAATTTACCTTTCAGAATGGATAGAAGTTTCATTAAACGCTTTTCGAAACATTTTAACAACACGGGTGTAGAAATTTATACAATCAAAGGGAATCATTTTATTATGATTAATTCTATGGCAATGCAAAATGATGGCTGTGGTTTTTGTAATGCGGCACTGCATGATTTAAATAGTATATCTGGTAAATTTGTGTATATTTCACGTAATTATACATAAGTCAAAAACTCTATTTTTTTATACTGCAGAAAAACTAAAATGCCTCAAAAATAAAGATAGTTGCGAAGATAATGAGGTTCTACAAAAACACAAAACCTATAATCGTCCGATTTTGATGCAACATTTTCCAACCTATCGAAAATCGGATGCCGTTTGTAGAGAACATGATGCGCCAAGCATTGAGTTCTTCCGCGAAAATTGGGAGGTGCTCTCAAGAAAATCAACAGATTTAATAGGTGAGAGCCAATTTTTACAATTTGTATATACTTACGCAACTATAAACATTTCTACTGCACAACTTAACATATGTATATTTCAGGCAAACTCCTAACACCACGAGTTGCTTTCGCTGGCCACAGCCATCATTATTGCTTGAATATAAATCGTTTTGGTATAGAAGAGTATACAGTAGCCTCTTTCAGTTGGCGCAATAAAGTAGAACCGAGCTTCTTGCTGGTATGAAAAGTTGAAATATGTGACATAAAATTGTTTTAAAATTTATTATTTTTTTCTTTCATACCAAAGACTTCTTTTAGCGGCTCGTCCTACGCTGTCTCAAAATGCAAAATGTTAGCACAAATGCATGTCTACAATACATACATAGCGGCTACGACAATATTAATAGCAACAATTATTTTTCAAATCTCAAGAAAATTCATGAGTATAAGCAAAAAAGCCTGAGACCCTACTTTATCAATAATGTATTATGAATGAAAATAATAGTAGGAAATGCTTAGAATAATAGCGAAATCGGTGTTGGGTTGGTGCGGTTACCTTACAAGGTCATTATTTTAGATTATTCCAAATTTATTTTAATTAAAATTTAGTATTTAAATTTGAATTATTTTATGAATAATTTTAAGGCTTCGGCTACTCCAGGCTATCTACAAGCTATCTTTACTATAGAAAAAGTATTATTGTAGTTATTTTAGTAATCGTAAAATGGTATATTTTATGCTGTCGTGCAATAATTTAGAAATTAAAAAATTATATTCTATACTTTCAAAATACGATAAATATTATCTTACCATTTTCCACTTCAAATTTAAATCAAAAAAATAATTTTTGTTAAAATATTTATATATTGTTTTTGTTTTTTTTTTTTGACATTTTATTTATTAAGTTGTAAAGCAGATACCAAGCGTTATCACAGACGTTCATAATTGGCCCGCAATAGCATATATGCATAAATATCTTGTTACTGATTATGATAATTTTTCATTTGAGACTATAATATATAGACAAACATAAGTATTAAATGATCTATAATCCGACTCAAACAAATTACGTACATTGAGGGTTAAATAGGATTACGAAAAGGCTACTAACTTTACAAGACATTTATTTTTTTGTTGATGTTTTTTCTATACATTTGTGTATTAATGTACATACATCTGTATTTTGATGTTAATTTATTGTCCAATTACTGCATATTTTGCTGTTATTTTATTTGTAAGTCTATTAAATGCATTCTAAATTATATTATTGGGGATACACCTAGTAGCACAAATTATGGAAAAAAAAAATTAATATCCCAGCAAACATTAAAGTCCAAAAACCGATTATACAACTAGATTTTTGTATATAATAACAACATTTATAAAATTATGAAGTTGATGTTATTTATTTCATACTTTGATTTTCAAATAAATTTGGCTTTAATATGTATATGTATGTATTGAACATTTTCCAGTGTAAATATACCTTTATAAATAAACTATATGCATTTCTTTAACTAATTGATTTTTAAGTATTTTGTGCACAAATTTAAGAAATAATGTATATGTATGTAAAAAATATAAAAAATTGTTGTGACCTTATCATTCGTGAATAACTTATCGTTCTTAAATATTTACATTTACGTATATAACTCTTGCCTTATGTTGCTATTATATAGACTTTATTAGACTTGCAGCAAAAACGACCAATTTCGTACTTGGAAATGTTCTTACTTGTCTTTTGTTTACCTTTCAATTTTTTTGCTTGTTTGCCTAAAAATTTAACAAATTACACCTGTAAATGTGGACTTAAACACATATGCATAATGAAGTTCATGATTGGAATTTTTGCTACACATTTAATTTCTAATTATAAACTGTTTACCTAAGCTACACATTTACATATATACACATTATCGGCTAAAAAAATACAGGAACCACAAAATGCAACAATTATTAACTTTACAGCACACACGGATTATGAAATGAAATTGGTTTTTGTTTTCTCTTTTTTTTATCCTCAATCAAGCTGCTTGTTTCCTGCCTCCCTTGTCTTAAAATAAACTAATACAGCTTTTATTATTAGTAATTTGCTCTATACAAAAAGATTCCAAATATCTTAATTTATATTGCTGTAACTTAATATCTGCCTTGATCACTTGCACTCTCACCACCGTTAGCCAAGAGGTGGGTGAAAGTTTGCGGGGTATTATCCCGCATGAAATCCGGATTTGCATTGCGTGGTAGGAAGCATTCCTTGGGTAGAAATCTGCAATGAGAGAGATTACAGAAATTAAATATGAAAATATACAATGTAAAAATAATTTATACCCTGAATTTAATATTTCCTAGTTTGCCACGAGGTTGCTAACACTCAGAAGTGAACTTTGGAGACCCTATAAAGTATATGCATATATAAATGACTAGTTCTTCCGTTCCTTAGATACAGATCTGAACTTTTGCACACGTCGTTTTCTCACCAAGAAGCTGCTTATTTGTGGGAACCGACGACATCAGACCTTTAGAGAATATAGCTGCCATACAAACTGATTGATCAAATTCAAGTTGTTGTATGAACAACTTTTTAATTTGACAAGATATCTTCACGACATTCGGCATAGAAGGAAACAAATTCTTCAGATCGGACCAATATAGCATATAACTGTCATACAAAGTGATCAATCAAAATCAATTTCTTGTGTGGAAAACTTTTTTCTTTTTTATCTTCACGACATTTGGCACGGATTATTGTCTCAGACAATGCTACATTCGCCGAACATATTATTCAGATCGGACCACTATAGCATATTGCTGCCATACATATTAACCGATCAGAACCAAGTCGTTCTATGAAATAATTTTTTACTTGACAAGAAATCTTCATGAAATCAGACATGCAAATGTATATTTGATATCCTGAAATATATTACCTGTGAATTACGGGTGATATTAACTCTGCATCCAGTTTCTTCAACACTGTTGGTCCGGTAAGGAAGGACACCACAGTACCAACTAGTAACGTTGACACAACACCAATCACAGTTATCCAATGGAAAGATAAACGATATAAAGGAAATACGTCCGCTTCATCGCCATAATCCGGTTCTGGTATTGTGTAATTTGCCAAACAATCCATTACGGAAACATTCAATTTATGTGGACCAATACGACCAGCACCTATGGCGGCCTGTGATCCGAATGACACCCAACCAGACATAAGCGCACCCGCTGCAGCACCAGCCAAAGCACCCTTCGTATTACTCCATGGCACTAACATGCCGAGCGTGAACATACCAAAAGTTGTGCCACCCGCAATGGCGGTGACTGAAGTGGCAACGCTCAAAATACCACTTAGCTTCTCCAGCACGAATATCAATGCCATAGCTACCGTGCCCAGCAAAACGATAACGCTTTTCACCAAAATATTTGTTGCACGTTCGCCAAGTTTCACCTTAAAACTGCCACGCACAATATCCTGTAGGAATACCAAGGCCGTTGCGTTGAGCACGACTGAGAGTGAGCTTAGCGCTGCGCCAAAGACACCAGCGATAAAGAGACCCGGTACGCCTTGTAGATGACCAACAGTTTGCATAACATAGATGGGTAGTAACTGATCGTCGTTCTGTGGGGAAAAATAAATTCAACTACTGATTTGTTAGTATATATACATACTCCGTGTGTACTGTGCTTGTAATTTACCGATATGAGTCCAGCATTTAGCGGATCACAATTTCTATAGAAATCGAAAACCAACAAACCGGCAAAGCAGCAAACTGATAAGAAGAGCACAACGCCCAGTGTAAAGATTACAATCGAGTGTTGACCTCTCTTCAATGTCGGCAAAGACATGTAACGCTGAACCATGGTTTGATTGACGCTATTAAAGGCAGTCCAGTAGGTGAAACCGCCAATCAATACGGCCCAAAATGATTGCCGCTCATATAATGAAGGGTTAATACTGTGAAAGAGAATTGAAAAAAGTAAACATTTAAATAAATTTATGTCAAAAAAATCTTTTTAAAAAATCCAACGAAGGGGATGATTTAAAACTTCACACTCTTCGGGCGATTATATAGAACACACTAAATTACAAAATTAATTAAACTTACTTAAAGAAAACTAGGCGCCCACCTTCGGAGGCATGCTTAAATACTGGTCCAGGTCCTCCTGCAGCTATCGTGCCCAGTATAACTACAACCACCAAAGCAATAAACATTACCAACGTTTGCCAGGCATCTGTATGGACTACGGCTTTTATGCCGCCCTAAAAAAAGCAAAATAAAATATCTTGAAATACCATAAAGCAATAAGAACATTGAGTCCATACGCAATAATTTTCAAGCATTAATTAAAAAAGCTGGACTAGTGAACTACAAAAAAAACGTTAACTTCGGTTGCATCGAAGGTATAATTTCCTTCACAAATACCAAAAATTCCTTGCAAGAACTTTGATCGGTCAGTTTGTATGGTAGATATAGGCTATAGTGACTCGATCTGAGCAGATCAGATTGCACCGTACAAGTACTTTATTCCGATCGTTCAGTTTGTATGGCAGCGGTTCCGAAAAATGAGCAATTTCTTGGGAAAAAAAGAAAATGTGTAAAATTTCAGATCGATATTCCAAAAACTGAGGAATTAGTTCACGTATATGCAGACAGACGAACGGACGGGCAGACTGACGGGAAGGATTAAATCTACTAAGTAACATATATACTTTATAGTGTCTCCGACGTTTCCCTCTGGGTGCTGCAAACTTCGTGGCAAACTTAGTATAACCGGCTCAGGGTATACAAATAATAAATATTCTTTCTAACTTATTCTCTTTCCTGCTTGAAGCTGATAAAACCTAACAATTTTATATAAAAAATATATAATTATTTTTTTTCAAAAAAAAAAAATTTAATAACATTTCGTTTTCAATTTTGCTAAAATAATCAAATATTATTTGTTTTCAGATATGACTTAAGTGAATAAAATCAAAAGCTGTCATAAAAGTCAAAATTTGTAAACCGTTAGTGTTTAAAAAGCAGCTAAATTATTAAAGATGTTTGAACAAACCGTTACCGGTAAGTAAATAATAATTTTATAAGTTTACTACTATTTTCCCAACAGTCTCCAAAAATATAAACCCCTAATTGTAAATTTGAAAAATGATTAACCCCAATTAAAATGTGACAACTGTCAAGCTATTCAGCTTTCAACTTTATTGAAAAATGACAACATTAACTGCTTGACATAAATTATTTTAAAAAAATCCTACTTTTACAATTGCTGAGTTTATAACTTATACTACTGTCAGTAAACCAATTAAAAGTTTATTATAAAATAGTAGTACTCACAATCAATGTGTAGATCTCGGAAAAAATATGACGTATATATTGACGCCAGTAACTGTAAAAATAAAATTAGAAAGAAAAACTATAATTCGCGCACTGTATTTGTAGATGATATTAAAGTGTTGAGAGAAAATTATACAAAAACAAAAATTAACAAAAAATAAGTATTCAACGTTTAAAAACACAAGTTCGCAATTTTTATTTACCTTGATTAAACGCTATTGCTGGCACATACAAAATTATTGGCAAGAAAAAGATCTGTAAAGAAAATAATAACTATTAGCTACATTTTTTTATCAAGTAAAATTATTTACTGCCTTAATTACTCAAAAATGCTACAACTAACACTTACAAGCATAACTGTCTTCATTACAAATGACATTTACATAAATAATATGTAACTGTTTTGATGCCTACACTTTGTAAGTGTCGTATCTACTTACCTCATCCATCACAAACATAAATGATGCAATACTCCGCACACTGGAACTGAAACGCATTTCCAAATACTGTAACAAAACAAATTGTTTTTTTTAAGAAGTAAAAAATGGTAATATAATTTTTTACGTAAATTTACAGGCCTATAGTCGTCTTTTTTCAATTCTATGTATAATTCATTTATATGGTTCGATAGGAGTTTTGCTTAATTCGTTCAGCGAATTTATTTGATATATTCCTTATTGACTCAAACCGAATTCTCCACAGCGGATACTTGAGCTTTGAAAACAGAAAAGCAAAATAGAAGAAATCTAGTGAAGAAGCGAGACTTTCTTTTAGGAAAAATCTGACTTGACTTGAGTTTTGGGGCGAACTGTCACTATCGCCAATATATCAATCATCGATCAAAATGTACAATATGAACGCGATCCAATGAGATAATTGAACCCTCTATTGGTTACCCAAATTTTTTCTTAATTGATTCAAGTATGTTTTGCATCTCTAATTTTTTTATTTATATTGTTAAATACTTGAGTTTTCAATAAAGTAGACTCTTTTATAATATTTCCAAACCTTGAACAAAAAGCTGCTAAATACAGACTAATTGTCATATTTAACTCAATTTTCAAAAGCTTATCATAGGATACAAGAAGCACAATCTAATTGTAAATAATAGTGATACACTTTATTTAATAAGACATTATTTATATACCCTTTCAGGTAAGTTTGCCACGATGTTTTTAATACCCAAAGGAATCGTCAGAGACCCCTATAAAGTATATATATATCCATATGTATAAATGGTCAGTATGACGAACTGAGTCGATTTAGCCATATCCGTCTGTCTGTTAATATGCGCACTAGTCTCCCAGTTTTCGAGATATCGATTAGAAACTTTGCATCCTTTCTCACCAAGAAGCTGCTCATTTGTCGAAACAGCCGATATCAATCCGCTATAACATAAAGCTGCCATACAAACTAAACGTTCGGAATCAAGTCCTTTTATGGAACACTTTTTCATTTAATTAGAGATATCTTCAGGAGATTTGGCAGGGGTTATTACCTAAAACAGTGGTGCAATATCCAAAGAAATTGTTCAGATCGGATCACTATAGCATATACATATATGCTGACCGATCAGAATCAAGTTCTTGTAAGAAATCATTAGTATTTGTGATAATACCCTTCACAAATACTAGTTTAACGATTTTTCTTGTTTTACGTTAAAATGGTTAAACAATTTTTCTATCATTAAAAAAATTAATAAATAAGCAATAAAGTCATTGGATGTTAAGGTTCACTGACGTTAAAATCGGACGGAAGTGAGTTCGTGATCAGCCAACTAACTAGCAGAGATAAAGAGATGCCCTACTCGTCTCTCACTGGAAATTAGAGCGCAATTGCTAAACGTCAGACCTACTGAACTTTGACAGTTGCTTGAGTTCAGTAGGTTTTGACGTTTATCAATTGCGCTCTAATTTCCAGTGAGAGACGAGTAGGGCATCTCTTTATCTCTGCTGTTGAAGATCACTAACAAAAATTGGAAAACAATGAAAATGAAAGAAAACGCGAAATTGAAATGTATGTGATGATATCTTTTATGATGTCATGCTAAGTGGTATTGATTTTCAATTGAACATTTTTAAAACCATTTATTAATTGAGAGCTAATACATTTGTTCTTTTGATTACGTATTGAAAGTTCAAAAATCAACTGTTTAATATATCACAAAATCACAAAAAAAGAGTATAAAAAGTTTCTGCATATGTTTAACGGATACATGTATAATAACATAAATAAAAATTATTATTTTGTCCGATCTGGCTGCAATGGATAATGTTATAAAAAATGCTAATTTTGAAGCGCTCTCACACTGGAAAGAGTTGGGCATCCCATTATCCCTGTAACTAGACTGCTCTATCGTGAACCAAGCATTGGATCTTATAGGTAACATACAGGCTACCCTTAATTATAAAATCGTAGTATTCACAATAGAGATTTATGTAGAGGTGTCTAAGAATCTTTTATTCAGAGTACCAAGCGAAAAAATAATATTAGTTTTTTAGACCCACCCTAGTGTACATATGTGTTATCTAAAACATTTTAAAGAATTGAAGAGAGATTAAGTCAAAATGACATTTTCAAATGGCAGTGCCAAAGTCCAGACCACACGCTATGAAGAAAATTACTTGTTATGAACAAACAATAACAATAACACTTCATCTAATAGATAAATTAATGATATAAAAAAAACAGTTATTGTGTGCTGTTGCTGCGAACGTTTTTTATATTATATATACGATTTTAATTTAATTTGCAATAACAAACAATCAAACCAAGGTTGTTTATGAGCCTAAAATTAAAAATACTATCAAAGAAGTTCATTCACTTATTAACACGTATCTGTACTAACGTTAGAAGTTGCATATTTCATTGGCCCTCACCCTCTTGCGTTATCTTGTCATTTATTCAAAATCTACAGTTTCTTCGGGGTATCAAGCGAAATTTGCTTAACCACTAAATATTTTTCTATGAAGATAGGAAACACAGGTCATATTAAATATTATTAACGCTTTTCTGTTTCCTAATATCGCTGGCAATTATCACTACAAGAACTTACGGGCGATTTTGTTACATTTTACACTAGACTAGAATACTGGATATGCGATAGCTACCCAGGACAGTTAAGTAAAAACAAAAAACGGAAAAAATTTCGAAATATACATTCGATTTATCAATACTATCTAATATGATATTTAAGATAATATTGAGTGATTGCTAAATATATGTATATGCTCGAACGAAGTCTTTAACTTTATATTAGTCTAAAAAGAGGGGAAGAATATAACTAAAAACGAATTCTCAAGTTTATCAGCAATCACCAACACATTTGCTGATTATTGTTGTCTGTTTCAAAAACTATGCAATTACGCTAGAAAGGCTTATAAGTATATTTTTTGCGACACATTTCTTTTATATCCGTAATTATGATATGCTGATTATAAAACTGTTAACAGGCATTAAGAATCAGCCCTCATCATCATAACAAATTCTGCATTACAGTTATTGAAAAAAAAAAACGAAACAATAATCTAAACTTCCTTTTGATTAGTTTATGTTACTTTATTAAATACTTGTAGATAGATATAGAAGTAGTCTCTATCCCTGTAATGTGGCTGAAAACGTGCTTGACCAAAAAGGCCTCGTTTAGTTATTCCTGAGGCTGTCCATGAGTTTTAGATTTTTTTAGACTCAAACCTTCCGAGCACGACTCTCAAATTCGACTACGACCACACTTAAAATTATAAAATAATCATACATACCTCATAGGAAGATCCAACATTTAAAGCCGTAAACACAGGCAAATAAACTCTTGATACAACGAATGCCATCAAAATAACCGGTACAATAATTAACCAATATTGAGTACCGTAGCTATAGATTTCCGACGGTACGCCAAGCATAGTTACTCCTGAAATATAGCTGGGAATTCGCGTGGAAGAAAGGGAGAAAGAGAGGAAGAAAGAAAAGGAAAATTTCATATATAATGTTAATATAGCTTAAATTTAATTCTTTTTTACTTAAATACGAAGTTATTCAAATCACAATCACTTTCCAAAAACAATACTAACCTGGCAACTAGGCTCATTGCTACTGGAAATACTTTCAGCCGCCTAGAGCCCAACAAGTATTCACTCATTGCTTTGGAACCAAAATCCGGTTCTTTGTGTTTGTTCATCTCTAAATTAATAATTGGTTTAACTGGTTTTATATTCTTTCTAAAATAGACAATTTTTTTTTATAAATTTGTATTTTACAATAGGCGTTGTATCTTCTGTACCTTATATAACCGAAATAGATACCCGTTCCTGTGGATAGCAACAACATCCCCACAAAAACACAGTAATCGGCAATTGAAAAATGAAATTGCGAATATTCCGCATATTTGAGTGTCTGTAAATGAACAAATACAAAAATGCTAATATATTTTCATAAAATTTTATGACTTTGAAAAGCTTTTCATCTCTTTTCGTGCTCAGTCAATACATTTAAGTGGTTAAAAATTTATTTTCATTGTTTAATGGTTTAATCAGATTGGTCGTACTATATTTCGTAAAAGTGAGGGGAAGATGCCTATTTCAGTATATCTAAATAAAGCTGGTAGAGTATCGTACGAGTATATTCGTTGTAGCGAAACATGGTAATTGTTTTCAAGGCACTAGGTCTATTGACTGAGATGCAATATAGGTATGTTGGTATTGAATGCTATGTCCCTCCCACTGGAAAAATCATTATTATTGGCCAGAACAACTACGGCGTTAGTTCGCATTCTGCAGTTTTGACAATTAGTAGAGGTGGGGCATTGGTTGTTTTGTCTTTTGTCGTCAAATAAGCATGCAATTTAGAAGAAAACTCTATAATGATTTCATCTTATCTTCTCAAAATCTAATATGAATGACAAGATGTACGATCGTTCTAACGACAGTGATACGATACTAACTTTGCAGTTCTAATTCAATGCCATATGAGTTGATGAAAGCCGAGAAAGAGGAAGGCTTTCTCTCAAAATGTTATAATTATGAATATAAATATGCCGCTACGAAAAAGTATTGTTGCCAATGTGCTGTCAATGGAGCCAGAAGATGTGGAAACCAGAGCTTCAGCTTATCTCTTTCAAATCAACAGCAAAATCTATTCAGAAGCATTATCCAAAATATATATTATGTATGGTAAGGTCTAACAAAAGAAATGCAAACCGTTTCCGACCGTTATTAAGCACTGATTCGATTGCGCAGCAGCTAAAAATTGCACAATAAAACGGAACCATTTAAATAAGGCTGGACAAAAAGAAGCTCGATGAGTAGGTACCGCACGAGTTAATGAAAAAAAAAAAACTTGAACCGAATTTCTATCTGCGGGTAGCTGCTGAGACGCAATAAAATCAATGCGATTCTGAAGCGAATGATAAAAAGTGAAGCACTTACGACAACGTCAAGCGTAAACGATGGTAGTCGAATCGCGGTGAGCCGGCGCAAGCGGTGGTCAGGAAAGTTCTACTACGTGTTTTGTGTGGAATTGGTATATTATCTCCTACGGTCAAATTTTTAATTTGGACCTGTGTTGTCAATGATTGGATCGTCTGAAGGAAGCAATCGCCCATAAGTGAGCCGCTCTGGCCAATAATAGAGGAATTGTGTTCCATCAGGATAACGCCAAGTCACACATTCGTTCCCACGACAATCGGGTATACGTAACCGGAAGGGATCTGGACTTTTATCCAACCAAGGACTGTCAACTGGGAAGAGTTCTTCAAAATTATTTCAGGAATGTTTTCTGCCGCTACAACAACACCTTGGTGATCAGTCGGGAACTTGGTAAGGAGTTTCTAATACATAGTTCGAACCTGGCACCCAGTGTTTACTACCTGTTCCTAATGTTGCGAATGCTTTCCTGGTGAATAACTCGTCTCAAATGAAACTGTGGAAATGTGGATGTCCCTGTTTTTTGCCAAAAATTACAAAGGTTTTTATAAGAATGGCATTATGAATTTACCTTCAAAATGGTAACACAATATTGAACAAAACGGTGCGTAGTTAACCCATCCTAGATAGATAGATAATAAATGAGGTTTACATTGCGACCTAAGGTCTATTGTGCCCTCCTTGTTACCAATGCCTTCGAGTTGTTATCAATACTTCTCCCTGGCATATATAAGCCTCGTAAGCAGAAAACGATTTAAGTGCCGCTGGCTATCGCTGAGTATGGCGATACTTTCATTGAGAAAGTTGCGTTGAAGGTTTATCTCTACACACCGACTTATAGCAAAGACTTCTGCTTGGATGCTTCTTGGCTTCTGCATGGGGAGTTTGGTACGCGGTTCTTCACTAATTGCATTCGACATTTTCGAGCCATCGGTGTACCACTTGATTGTGCTATCCCTTAGCAGTAAGTCGAGCGTGGAATCATATCACTGAGCCTTGCTGCCAAGCGTAACTTTAAACTTCCTTGTGAAGTATACCATTTTGGTAATGCTGTCCAGTGGGAGAAGACCCAGCGGTATACCATCCTAACTATGTCAATTTAATGCAAAAATAAGAATTTTCACTTTGCTAGACTATTGCTATTATGAAAATTTTTGAATCAAGTAACAAACCAACGCCTAGCACATATGATCTTTCTTGAGCTTTTTACTAGAAATATTAAAAAGGAATTTTATAATAGTATATTTCCAGTTAGTTCTCTGCTTAGTTATTATCACAAAATTGCTCAGTACTCCTTTAAAATTAAATAACTCACATTGCATCTTGTTATACTTTTTTATATACGCACGTGTGCACGAGCAGTCGTCTCGCATAGCAGTCAAATAATAGTAATGAACTTAAAAAAGCCTGTTCTAGGCCTTATTATAATTAGCATAAACAGCTGTTTTACGCTCCGCTTAGAATAACACATTGAGGTACATATATCAACACATTAGTACTTATCGCGAGGTGTGATGAGTTGCGCCAGGTACCCGTTATTTATTCTCGACTTGTTCAAGATAATCTGAACCGTTAAACTAGTCATAAATCTTATCGAGGTTTGGAAACCAACCGTGAAGTTAATTGAAATATATAATTACATATATGGAACTGTACACTTGTACTTTTAAATATTAACTTGTAAAGGCTAAAGTGCTACATATGTGACGATTCTTCTCTAATAAAGCCTACAATACGATACCAACTACATACGTATAATGTTTCAATTGGCATCGCGTGCTGTCTAATGGACTTTGAGCTGTCTGTTGAGAAGCATTCCATGCATTAGTAATTTATTTTTTATTAAACATTAATTGTTTGCAACTCAGATAATTTTGTTTTAGTTTCAAATATATATGTACACAGTTTGATAGGTATTTCAATAACCTAAGGTAACCTCACCTAACTTATATTGGTCGTTCACTAAGTAATTTCGTTTTTTCTTTTAGATTTTTTTATTGTGTAAAAAATTTTATGAAATTATATTATATATTCTCCATTTAAATTCAATATCGTTGGCCAACTTTCGGGCAAAATATTGATTCCACGCTTATAAAATTTTTGATCCTTGCAGGCAAAAAACTGGTGCAGGTGGTTTTTAACGTTCTGATTTGAGGTGAAGGTTTTCTCATCCTAAAAATTTTGCAGAGACCGGAACAAGTAAATAGTCCAAAGATGCCAATGACTTCCAGGCGCATCCTTAATTCGAAATTGCCGGAACGAAATTTTGCAAATCAATTTTGGCATTAGCTTTCGGTCAACATATCTTCTCTGCACACATCATCATAATTTTTGCCTTTCTTGAACTGCATTTTTACCCTTTGGTAATAAAACAGTAAAATATACCGAAAATGCTGTTTTAGATCTTCCATCTCCGGTAAAGCTTGAAGTTGGTTGCGAAAAAATTCAATATGATCAGCCGTTGTCATCAAACGAAATTACTTAGTGAACGACCCAAAATATATTTTGTTTTATAGGCCCTTATTTGGTATTATAAGAATTCATTATCTTGTTATAAAATATTTACAAAACTAGCTGACTCCCGCTCTATCAATCTTATTTCCATTAATTTACAACGACAATGATACATAAGGACCACTTAGTACTTCTTGGAAAATACTTTTCATTTAATGAGCCACCTATATAAGCAATAAGATGTCTCCAAGCAAAATTTAGACATTAGAAAAGGTTAAGAAGGTTGTAACTGAACATCACATACTTTCATATGTATACTTGATAGTGCAACATTAAACGAGGAACGTTATTACAACCTATTGTTCAGGTTCGCCACTAATGCTTAATTAGCTTAGACTTTCAGTTGTTTTTAGATAAACATAATTGTTATCAGTTCTGATACTACTTTAATTTTACCGACCAAATAAACATTAGCTTCCTAATTCGACACGATCCTCAAATCTGCTGTCTTTTGATGATTTTATGTTTCCAAACTTTACTTATGAGTTAGTTACTTAAGCTCTTTTTTTATTTGAGAGAGAAATTTAAGTTACTGAACCAGGGTAACAAAGATATAATGCCCACATCAAACGGCATGTGTATGTTTGTATAATATAAATATGTATGTACAAGTACGTACTTTTATTGTAGGTTACAGTTTTTTCTTTGATAAAATTTATGGAGTTGAAAAATCTGAAACCACCGGCTAGGAATGTGGGGGTAATAATGTGATAAGGAGAGCGTAAAACTGTGATGTCTATCCGATATAAAAGTAATTCGGTTTTGGATTTGTGTTATTCAAACAAATTTGCGTTCGTCTGGCAGAGCTAAGAATCAGTTGGTGTAATAAATTTATGTCTAACACGAAAAAACAAGTTTCAAATATTTGATTTTATGAAACATTTTTAGGTATCAATATCAAAAGTGCTTTGCTTTTTTTAATTTCTTTTAAAAATAGAGTTCCGCTCATTATTGAATTTAATGGGGTGTTAATAGTTTTTAAAAAGTAAAATATATAAAAAGGTTTTCTACATTTATCACAAAAAACCAAAACTATCAAATATTTTTAGGGTACACTTTCCTTGTTTTTTTATTACTTATTGCCTCTTTAAGAAGCATAAAGTAGATGAATACTTTCTTAATAAAGAGAAGTTATTATTTTCTAAACTGTTGTTTCCAACGCTCGTTACTTTGTGCTGTTTGAAAAAAAATTGGATCATATCTTCAAAGAAATCGGTTAATCATTCAATGTTTTATGCCATTATATAGCATAAACAGTAACTACAACATTGAAATTGATTCAAAGAAACGTTACCCATCTAATTGTGATGATGTTTTCCGCTATTTCCTGTGTAATATATTTCGAAGACTGATATGATCTTTGAAAACCGGCTCTACCATAAATGATAGACTTCTTTCACTAGTTAGGTCGGATCTTTGCCTATTGCAAGATATTTAGTTACTTGTGTAGACTATGAGCTTGGCATTCCCTACTTTCAGGTAAAATTTCATAAATCACAACTTATTCGACAGATATAAAGCTACAAGTATATAATTCAAGCTATCATAAAGAACTCATCAATCAAAATATTAAAGTAACTTTAAATATATTTTTTGTTTACTAAGCAAGATGGCCAGGTTAACGGGTTACATGGGTTTCACGGCTTCAAAAAAAAAAAATATTTATAGAGGTATTTTATTCTATAACATCATCTAGATATTGAGCTAAATTCTCAAGATGATCCGAGTAAAAAGGTAAAAAAAAGTACAGAGAATAGGCCGGTTTTTGTTCGAGGAAACCCATGTAATCCCTTATCCCATCCATGGAATCCCTTAAGCCAGACTAGGAATTTCAAAAAATCGATTTTACACTTGAGGATTCCGAAAAACATTCAATTTGCAACATAGTGCAAAAAACGTATGTTCCCAGTCCACTTTGCTGTAGCGTTGTAGCGTTCGAGTCAATCAGTTCACTACATAAAACTTCAAATCAGTTTTCCTAAACTGCAGTTTTCAAAGGTAATACTCGGAGATTATTGCACGTACCTATTTAAAATTTGAACTATAACTTCACAGTAAAATTAACAAATAGACTTGGTTTACTGTTACTTTTTTGAAATCTAAAATATAACCAAAATAAATTGTCAAAGTTTGGCGTTTTTGAGGAAGCTAGACTGACCTAATCCATTTATAAAACTAACTAGCCACGATTCACAACTTTGCCAATAGTGAATATTGAATTTTTACGCAATATTTGTATAATTAAATTTTGCGGCTTCTATTTTTAAAACATATAAATTGCTAGTGTAATGCGCCTGCACTTAGCCCCTCATTACATATTTGATTTTTATTATACACCGAACAGGGTATATTAAGTTTACCACAAAGTTTGTAACACCCAAAAAGGAGCGTCGGAGACTATAAAATATATATGTACATATATAAATGATCAGCGTGACGTGCTGAGTTGATTTAGCCATATCCGTCTGTCTGTCTGTACTTGCATAAACGCGGACTAGTCTCTCAGTTTTTGAGACATCGCTCTGAAATTTTGCATACATCTTTTTCTCGGCAAGAAGCTGCTAATTTATAGGAACCGCCGATATCGGCATATAGTGGTGCCATACAAACTGAAGGATCGTAATCAAGTTCTTGTAGGAAAAACTTTTTTATTTGACAAGATATCTTCACGAAATTCGGCACGTGTTATTATCTAAAGCATTACTACAGTTAAGTTTACTTACAATTACAGATCAGACCACTATAACATATAACTGCCATACAAATCGACCGCTCAAAATCAAGTGCTTGTATGGAAACTTTTTTTATACGTGAAGAGTATTCTAGCTTCGGTGCCAGCGAAGTTAAAATTTTTCCTTTTTTTTATTTTCCAAATACTCGCATACTTTGGAACTTGTATTGGTTTTATTACTTTTATTTTATTTATTAATTTATTTTATATTTTTTTAAGCAAATAAATATATATATATTTTTTTTAACATTAAAATTAATTAACAATTGACGCCAATATTAAGAATATAATAAACATTAATTTTATCAAGAACCTGAGTCCAAAAAATAAGTAAATACAAAATATTTTCTTGCTTTTTGCACACTTATTTTAACCCTTCGTTTTTATTTTGAAACTTTTGCTTTCTTTTTGCTTTTTTTTACCTTGTCTGGCATTTTGTTGTGATAACGTTGAACCACGCAACTTTGTTTTGTTTATTTACAAAGTTGAGGGAGGTATTAAATCGGAAGCACCGTGGATTTGTGATCACTTATTTGCACTAAAACGCTAGCCAAAAGCGATTAAACTCATACAAATGTACATATGTATGTATATATGTACAGAAATTATTCAACGTGTTACGTTGGTGTCAGCACAAGTTTATAAATAATTCTCAATCAAACCAGTTTTATATAATCACTTCAAAACTTTCTTCTGCTGCTGTTTCAATATTCATCGAGTTTTTCGAAAGCTATTAATTGCAGCAATATAAATATGCCGACAGTGACGTTGCACACACGTAATCACATATAAACATATGTTGTTTTGAGTGAATTAGCTAATAATCGCTCTTCGCCGACAACACACTACGAAAATTTGTTCAAACGTCATGCGCATATAGATTTGGTTATGATTATTATTTTTGTATTGTTTTTTTTTTTTGTTTGTTGCAATCTTTAGCACTTTGTTTGAAAAATTTTCCAATAATTCGAATGCCACGAAGAAACAGCGCAATTAAGTAGATACAAAATATGTATGTAAGTCAAAAGTCAAAATGACTGCCGATGGCGGAACTGTATGTGGTGTCGTTGGATAGAGCAGCACGTGTTTACTGAAGGTTGGAAGCACACTGCAGCTACGACGTGGATGGCTAAACTGACTGAGACGATTTTTATATCTCACGTAGGGTAATAATAGCGAAAATCTATCATTACGTCGCTTGCAAAGGCAGCGGTGGGTGCTCACTTGAGTCATTCAAAGAACCACGCACATCAACAAATTAAAACGTACTAAGCACATTGTGGGCCGAAGCCGGGCAAAAAGCCACAGAGAAACACAGAGAGAGTGTGAGCACTAATTTGGACAAAGGGAAATGTAGCGTTTTTTAGGTAGCCGATTTTCAACTTTGGACCGTGTACCAAGTATTGAGCGCGATATGCATATCATAACCATAAATCTACAATTACATACATATGCATGTACGAATATATAGAAAAACTTCTCAATGCATAGAAATGTGTAATTTTTGTGTAGTGCTCGCTGAGTGTCGTATTAATTTGAGAGCATTTATTTCGTTTAGAAAAGTTTTCTTTACAATGGTTATTTAAATTATTAGCCACCACTGTACCATCTGCGTTTGTTGCACTTTACAAAATGTTACATATTAATTTAAAAAACTATAAATAAGACACTTTTTAAAAATAGAATATTCAATTAAATAATTAACAATTTTTTTTTTTAATTTTTATCTAATGTACATATACTCTCTGTAAAATTAGTGAAAAAGGTGTTTGAGGGCGAGGAAGATATTTTTGCTTAAAATTATCTGAAATCCAAAAACAAAATCAAAAAAAAAAGCATTATTATTATGTTCGATTTTAGCAACATGTACATGCGATATATGCAAAACCGATTTATTTAAAATTCACAAGTGAATATAATCCCTTATCCTGGTCCAATTAATATATGTAGTACTCGTATAAAGTCACTTCCTCCACATCTTTTAAATAATAATAAAAATAAAATGTTTGCGATTTGAATTAGTTTCAAAGGATTAGAATAGTTTTTCAATGGATATATATAATATATTGTATATATATATTTTTTTTTATTTGAAGTTAATGAGAATTATATTAGCTGAAAGAGGAGCTGCTGAAATATCAAAACTAATTTGAATCAATTCACTTCGAGAACTAATCAACTTTTTGGACTTCATCTTATTCTTCTATATTCCTATACCACTAAAAAATTACATCAAATTATCAAGTATACTATATTAGGTGAAAATTCAATTTAAATGAAGCCTTTAAGTAAGAAAGAAGTGTTCAAATTTGTCTTTTTTCGAATCTAACATTCACAAAAAGTGGCTGTTTTTCAAAATCATTACAATCGTTAAAAAAAATGTATTTAAATTTTCATTAATTTAAGAACCAAAAATTGTCTTCCATAGTTTCTCAGATATATTCTTCGACACATCTTTTTGAGAAGCTATACTTTTTTAAACGAAATATTTCTGAGCGGAGATGGAAAGGGATCAGAATTGTAAGGTCCTGAACCTTTTGTTTACTCTTATCCAAGTCCCCAACACTTCGTTTACATTTAGCTAAGTCATAACCTTTGTTTACATTTGGGGTCATTGAAACTTTTGTTTACATTTTATGGGGTCCGTGGCCCCTTTGTTTACATATTATGAAGTCAATGACCCTTTTGTTTACTTTTAGCGAAGTGTGTTGTTTTTATAATAGAGGGGAATATTAAAGAGAAATAAATATATGAATGTACCAGAGAACTTATAACAATTCTTGTATGTTCTCTGTATGTATGCATGACCAGGGAATATTTATATGTTCTCTGCCCTTACTGTCTTTTAGATAAAATTTTGAACTAAACGAACTATTCTGCCGCATATGCTATTTTTTTTTTTTTTGGTGATTGTGGACCATCAAATGCTAATAATTCGGGTTCAAATATTATGTATTTTTCGTACATTTTTATCGTCTGTTATATTGTACAATAGCTTGCTTGCTTAATCTAAATTATTTTTATTTGAGGCTGATGAGAATTATATTCTTGTGTCAAGACCTTGTTAATATTTACTCGCAAAATCAATAGAATAAAATTTTACCTGAGAAATAAGCTGCTGATACACCAAACCTAATTAGAATCAATTTACTTCTAATGCCGCACTTCTTTTCGGACTTCATGTTCTACTACAATATATTGCTATATCTCTGAAAAATATTGCTATATTTGCGAAGCCATTTATCTAAGCCATTTATATACATTTTTTTTCGATGTACGAATGAAAAAACAAAAGGTTTGAAAAAGTACATAGGAAGAAAAATTAATCTTTATTAAATCCATATTTTAGTATTTCTCCGTAGCACTCATGCGTTTGGACTTATTCGAAATAGAAGTTGATGTTCGCTCAGAATTACCTCTGGATAAAATAGGGTTTGCATTAGGCGTAGCCTTGAAACATTCTTTCGGTAAAAATCTATGTCGAAAAAAAGAAATATTAATATAAGGTAAATAATAAATTTTGTAGCAAAAAATCGGCCGAACCCATCGGAGCTTTTGAGAAGGGACCAAAACTTTTGTGTATAGGAATAGCTCTTACCTATGAATTACAGGTGATATTACATTTGCGTTCAATGTTTTCAAGTCCTTTGGTCCGCAGAGAAAAGATGTTACAGTGCCAACCAGTAATGTAGACAAAACACCAATTACAGGTATCCAATGAAACGATAAACGATATAAAGGAAATACATCCGACTCATCAACATATTCGGGTTCAGTTATTGTGGAATTAGCGGGACATTCCGATACAAAAACTTCCAAAATATGTGAACCAAGTTGACCGCTTGCTTTTGCTGCTTGTGAGCCAAACGACACCCAACCAGACATAATTGCGCCCGCAACAGCGCCAGCTAATGCCCCTTTCGTAGTGCTCCATGGTACCAACATGCCGAGTGTGAATATACCACATGTGGTACTGCTTTCAATGGCAACAAGCGAAGACACTACGCTCAAAATGCCACTTAACTTTTCAAGTACAAAAATCAACGCAACAGCAATTACACCCTGGATAATTATTGTGATTTTGACAAGTATTGTTGAAGCGCGTTCGCTCAAATTCATTTCAAAACTGCCACGTACAATATCCTCAAAGATTACCAATGCAGTACAATTAAATCCCAACGATAAAGAACTTAACCCTGCGCCAAAAACACCGGCTATAAAAAGACCCGGTATGCCCTGTAGATGACCAACAGTTTGCATTACGTAGATCGGTAATAATTGATCGTTGTTCTGTGGGGAAGAAGTAAATTAACTACACATTTCCTAGTACTTAATGGTTAAGTGATATGATATTTACCGAGATGAGTCCAGCGCTTAGTGGATCACAATTTCGATAGAAATCAAATATCAATAAACCGGCGAAACAGCAAAACGAAAGGAATATTGTAGCGCTGATCGTAAAGATGATCATCGAATGCTGTGCTTTCTTCAAAGTCGGCAGCGACATGTAACGTTGAACCATGGACTGATTTACACTATTATAGCTGGTCCAATAGAAAAAGCCACCAATCAATACAGACCATAATGACTGTCTCTCATATAATGAAGGGGTTATACTTTAATAGAAAAATGACAGGAAGTATAGAAAATTATATAAGTGTAAAAAGAGATTATGTGAATTGAGGTAAACATAATAGTGATATCAAATGATAATGCTGCAGTGGGAACATGACCGCAGTTAATTAACCATCTTTCAATGGTTACTTAGACTTACTTAGCAAAAATGATGCGTCCACCTTCAGCAGCGTGCTGAAATACTGGTCCAAATCCACCTGCATATATCACTCCAAGTATGACAACAACTATTATCCCAATAAACATAACTAATGTTTGCCAAATATCAGTTTGAACCACGGCCTTAATACCACCCTAAAATTTATTGTATGTTAAAATAATTCCCTCATATTCGTCTAAGTTAAGAAATGGTTTAAGAAAACAGGTAAACCGATTTCGTTATACTCGAAGGGGAGTACTAATGGTACTAACATTTTAATTAAATATATATAACATACAGGTTGGTTGTGAAGTGTCTGCTCTCATCACTTTTTTTTTCTCAAGTTGGTACATCTCTCGTGAGAACACATGCAAATGTACAAGTCATTCTGTCAATTAATTCTTTGTTTACAAGCCATTTGAAGTTGTCGTGTCAGAGTACTTTTTAACTTCCCGCTGAGAAAATTGAAAATTTTCTAAAAATCGGGAAGATATTGGTTTCACCCCATTTTGCAAAAATCGAGTTCTCAACAGATCTCGACGTTTTGAGGGTCGAGGAAGCTTCCCCGAACATTTCTACGATGATGTCCGTATGTCTGTATGTATGTGTGGATGTATGTGTGTGTGTGTGGATGTATGTGACCCTCTTATAACGTTTAAACGGCTCAACCGATTTGAATAAACTAAACGACATTCCAAAGGGTTTCATTGCACTTGAATTTCGTGTGAGTTTGGACCCAATCGGACCAGTAGATTTTGAGAAATCTAATCAGTTCTAAACCTTGAAAAAACACATCGTTTGCCGCAAACCGGGTCAAAATCGGTTGATTTACTTGCAAGATATCGAAAACGAAAAATTTCGAAAAAATCGTTTTTTTCGAATTTCTTCCAAACGACTTGACCGATCAACACCAAAAAATAATCAGTTCTAAACCTTGAAAAAACACATCGTGATTGATCATTGATTTACTTGCGAGATATTGAAAACGAAAAATTTCGAAGAGCTCAAAAGCAGTGAAAAAAGCGAAATTTAAACGTTAGCGTATGAAATTAGCGGAAAGTTGCAGGGATGGCCCTTGAGGCCAACCGTTTTCCACATTTTTTAATATAGTTTTGAAAGGTTTAAAAGCAAAGGAAATTTATTAACAATTATTTGAAGTGTATAAGGAGTCTCATCTTTAAAACGTTCCGTTGAATTTTGGCCTGGTGAATATAAACGTGGCCGTACACAGGCTATTGTTAGTGAAGATTCAAGTTTGACTAAGCGTGAAATTGCTAATGCTTAAGGCATCTCAGACGAACGAGTACTTCATATTTTACATGGATAATTACATATTAAAGAGCTGTTTAGAAAGTTAGTGCCGCACATGTTAACAATTCAACAAAAACTGGAAACAAATTTCTTAGCATAATTTGGAGCGTTTTAAGCAGAATAAACCCGATTTATTGCATCGTTTTATAACTATGGATGAGACTTGGATCTACCATCATGATTCTTAATTGAAACTAGAGCGTTTACAGTAGACTAAAGCTGGTTGTACAGCTCCAAAGCAGATGAAGTCACAGGGATCAGCAAAGAAGGTTATGGCATCATTTTTGGAGAGGCAAAAGCAATTTTGTTGATTGCTTATATGCATAAAGATAAAACAATCAACTCTGAATATTATTGCAGACTTTTGGATCAGCTGGATGAAAAACTTCGTGAGAAAATACCTGGTTTGCAGCTTAAAATAATCATTTTGCATCAACACAATGTACCTGCTCACAAAGGTGTTTTAACAATGACAAAATTCAACGAATTAAAGTAGGAATTGCTTGAGCATCCACCGTATTCACCAGATTTGGCTCCCAGCGACTACTACCTCTTCAGGCATAGGAAACAATCCCTTAATGGAAAGCGTTTTTCGTCGAATGAAGAGCTATTACAGGCGGAGATGGGTATTTTGCAGAGCTTCTTGAAAGTCATTATAGGGATGTCATAAAATTATTGGAGGATCCTTTTAACAAGTGTATTGAAGCAAATATATATTTCCAAAAACAGTATTTTTTCATTTCGAAAAAACTTTTCAACCAACCTGTATGTATATTCGGTTCTGCCCGAATTAATAATTTTTTTACTTGTAAGTATTACTATAGTTATACGAGTATGTATGGATATTACCAATATTGTGTAGATCACAACAATTAAACTCATGACGCTACTAGTGATGTATACATTAATTCCAGTGACTAAGGAGAAAGAATAGAAAATATATTATTCAAACTTTAAATGCTTTTATGGTAAAATATCAAATTTTACTTTCATCTTACCTTGATTAAATGCTAATGATGGCACATATAAAATTATTGGCATGTACAATATCTGAAGCGAAGAGTAGAAATAGTTCTGTTAACATTTCGTTATCAAAACGAAATATTTCTTTATACCTACCATTTTCCCAATAAACAAAACTGCGGCAATAGTTCGAACGTTCGAGCCGAAACGAATTTCCAAATACTAAAAATAAACACGAAATATTTAAATTCAATTTAGGAAATAACTTGTGAACCTGAAACCTAGTCCTGTCTATACAAAAATTGCTGTACATAACAGAGAAAACCAATATTTTGCATATTAATGTATTATACATCTATCTATCGGCATGTAAAAAAATCGATTTTCTTTCATATTTCGTTAAATTACACCTTTAAAATGAAAATTTTTAATGGATATCTCAAATAATTGTTGAGTTACAACTCTCCATCAGTTTATCTTCAAACGCAATTTCTCAAAACGACCAAAATGTTGGATAAAATTCAACTTTTTTTAAACAGCCGCCATTTTGTTCAGATGCAGTAGCAGTACGTTTTTCGCGCCATCGGACATCGCGTGTACCTCGAACTATATTTATACCCTGAACAGGGTATATTAAGTTTGCCACGAAGTTTGTAACACCCAGAAGGAAGCGTTCGAGATCCTATAAAATATATACATAAATAATCAGCATGGTGAGCTGATTTGTTTTGCCATGTCCGTCTGTCTGGCCGTCTGTCTGTATATACAAGTATACGAGTTAGTCCCGCAGTATTTAAGCTATCGCACCACTATATAGCTGCCGTACAAACTGAACATTCGAAATCAAGTGCTTGTATGGGAAACTTTTTTATTTGATGTAACATCTTCACGAAATTTGGCATGATAGATCGCCTAAAGCAACAATGTAAGCTCCGAGGAAATTGTTCAGATCAGATCACTATAGCATATAGCTGCCATACAAACTGAACGATCTTTATAATTAATCAAGTTTCGGTAGGCTGGTTTGACCAGATGTAACCTATAACTATAAGGAACACAAAAATGCTTTAAAAAAATTTTCAATTGGGGTACAATAATTTGTAGAGATATTTATTTGATCATATGATAATTTTTCCGAAATATTGGAATATTCCCAGAAACTTTATACCTGGTATGATTTTGAACAGGGTATAAGCTTAAGCTATGAAAAAATGTACAAATTTATGGTGAAGGTTTATTAAGATTTGTTTTGTGTAAAATTGAATTAATTGCATAGACTTCTTTTGCGGTATTTATAAATACATATATTAAATAACTTTAGGGAAGTCATATTGATAATTTAATCAGTCTTTTATACACACATATTATTTACAATTTTTTTTTGCTTAGCAAGACAGGTTAGAAGTATTTCATAAGTGTGAGCATAGACTATTAGCTTTAATATTCAATCTACAGGAAGCGGAACTAACGGCGCTGTTACTTGGACTTTTTAAGGTAAAGAAAAGGTACCTTGCCCGAAAAGTTACCTACTAGTGATATGAAGCAATTTATTTAAATGTAAAATGGGAAACACTAAGTTCGTGACCTGCCTTTAGATAGAGCCTCCCCGTTTATAATACAACAAAAAAATTCTCACCTCATAAGAAGAACTGACTTTTAACAAGGCAAATACTGGCATATAGACTTTTGACACCGTTATTGCCATCAAAATGATCGGTATAACGATTAAAAAAAATTGAGTCCCATAGTTGTAGATTTCCGATGGTGTGCCCAGCATAGTTGCGCCAGAAATGTAGCTATTTACATAGAAATAAAACATATTTGTATATCATTAATATCTTAAGAAAGCACACCTTCTTGTGAAGAAGTGATGAGACCATATAAGGTTCATCGAATTTCACAGTGCTCAGCCGAAAAATATTACATTTTCTTATCAAATCTAAAAAAATAATGCCATACTAACCTAGCAACAAGACTCATTGCCACTGGAAATACTTTCATTTGCCTGGATCCCAGCATATATTCACTCATTCCTTTAGAACCAAAGTCCGGTACGTTATGGCCGTTTGATTCCTCATCACTGCTTGATTTAACCGGTTTCTTTCTAAATCAATTGAGTAAATATATATTCTTTAGGTAAATATTATTTTCATTGAACTTACTTTATGTAGCCAAAATAGATACCGATTCCCGTAGAGAACAACAATAGCGCTCCAAAAACACAGTAGTCGGGAATTGAAAAAAGTAATTGTGAATATTCTGCATAGTTGGATATCTATAAAAAGAAAAATAAATATTTTAATAGTACATAGTCTTGGCAAAAAAGTACTATAATGAAGTACTTTTCTGTTAAAGGACTTATATTTAGGAACTGTCTGACTAAAAGGTGTGATAATAGTAGAAGGAGTCATAATCACTTCGTAATAGAAATCAGGTGTTAAAGTTTAATCTATCTGAAATCAGTATACTTGTCAATGATCACCGAGGATCAAGATCACCAACACATGGCGCCAAATCACATTATACCGAGCGAAACATTCACACATATATTATTCAGATATCTTCTGACGTGACTGATGGACTGATAACCCTTTTGCCTCAAACTCTCATTAATGTGAATGTTTTCTATTACATAGTCAAAACATGGGATAATTCAAAATGTGGTTCTATGTGGGCGTTATGAGATCGTAATACCTAGAAACTGTTCTAATAGACACTGTTTTCGCCAAGTGTTGCAGAAATAAACCATTCACATAGTATATACGGAAAAATGGAAGCTTTCGTATCCGGTGTGTGGACCATTTTTAAACTGTACTAAGTGATTATTAAGAATATAAATATGCAATACTTAGGCCACTGGGTTTTACTGAGATTTTGCTAAAGTAACTCTATTAGTTTATCATAGATATATATGTATATTCCTCATAAATTTACCGCTTTGATACACGATTTTCTTCAATTGTATTTTTTATTTACCACACCAAGTAATGAAATGCTCAAATTTAAATTAATTTCGTTGGTAACATCCTTGTATACGTATATTTTCCGTTTATGTATGTAACTTACCTTGTTCTGCATTGTGAAGACTAAAGATAAGCGACGAGAAATTTATTTGTTTGTCTGTATATGCTTTGTATTTAAAAGCCTTTAAAACTATTTTGGCAGTATCAGATAACCACAGCAGTATCACTGAAATTTTCAAACACCTCGTTTTGCCAAAATTTTAGCTAATGACTCCAAACTATTGTACTTTTACTAGCGAATGGTGTTTTTTTTATTGGCTGGCTAGCCAAACAGTGCTTTTTAACAATTTTATTGCACCAATTAAAAGAGCTAATAAATATATGTATGTCATATAAAGAATGTAGTTGATATGCAAATATTCTACTTTGATAGACAAAAAATGTCAGATTTAGGTTTAAATATTGCAATCACTTTCATTTTTATTTTTTTAGTAATTATTTTAAAGTTTTGGCTAGAGGACATCATTCTCGGTAGTTTTTTATACTCTCGCAATCTGTTGCTACAGAGTATAATAGTTTTTTTCACCTAACGGTTGTTTGTATCACCTACAACTAATCGAGTAAGATAGGGTTATATATATATAAATGATCAGGATGAAGAGACGTGTTGAGATCCGGGTGACTGTTTGTCCGTCCGTCTGTGCAAGCTGTAACTTGAGTAAAAATTGAGATATCTTTAAGAAACTTGGTACACATGTTTCTTCTGTAATCGGACCACTGCCACGCCCGCAAAACGCCATTAATCAAAAACAAATAAATTGCCATAACTAAGCAACACTAAACACCCCATATACATTAAATTTTATCTCTGGGATGGTATAATATGACTTTATAGGAACCACGTCCAAATTAGATGTTAGGTGAAAACCCATATCTTGGGATCTGCTTAACCGATTTCAACCAAATTCGGTATATAACATTATTTTTGTATTTCTATGCTACAGTGCGAAAATGGATTACAACCACTCCTATTTCCGATATAACACTATTTTAAATTAGATCTGATTATTGCACTTTCCACTATGCATATCAAGCAACAATGATTATATCGGGGTAAAACTTTGCGTGAATAATGCGTTTGAAGTGTGCCACCTTGTGACCAAAAATTGTCTTAGTCGAAACAAAACTGTTCAAGCCCCTAGGTATTGAATATGTGGACCCTAGTACTGACTTACATTGTTGACTTTTTACCGAAAGTATCGGTCAATGTATAAGGTATACAATTGAAATTCATATAATAAAATTAATAATTGAAACTCTCGATAATAGTATGTCTTTGTGTCAAAAATGGGTTGGATCGGCGCAATACTTCCTTTAATATAAAATTTTGCAAACACCTGAAGTAATTTCCCGGGCTTTGATCCTTGCAAGTTGCGAGAGTATAAAATGTTCCGTTACACCCGAATTTAGAATTTCCTTACTTGTTTTTTTTTATAAAAAATCTAAAAAAAAATCCTAAGCTTTTAAGAAAAACAAAAAACAAAATTATGTTTGCCTAAATAAAACGAAATTTAAAATTTTATAATTTGGATAAAATTGCCAACTTTGATAACTGCTGTTATGTTTATATTATTTTAGAAGTTTTGTAAACTTTCGCTGATCTTGTTCGTACTCCATTTCATGGGTTTCTAACCGATTACAAGATTATTTTTCAAAACCTGTTGTCTTTAGAAATATGCAATATTTACGATTTTTACCATTAAAAGTTTTTATTTCTTTACAGTTATTTGCGATGTTTTATACTCCTCTCCGGATTTTAATCTTGTATTTTAATTATCCAAAAAACAACTCGTAAATGACAGCTGAAATATGACACACTTAAAAAATTAGAGTTTAGACGTTTACTTATTATAATCATATATCGACCGAAATTAATTAATTTTAAACGTAGCGTGTCAAAGGAATACTTCCACACATCACAGATGTCAAAAATATACTAAGCTTATAATGGGAAGAAAGCCACTGATCTACAATTAAGTATTGTAGTAAGTACGATATCATAAGCAAATAAACTATGTAGTTAGTGTACCTAATCCTGCCATAAATTCTGTTACAAAGCCTATAATGCATACAGCGAAAACAAATTGGCAGAAGAAAGTGCCGCTATTATACTCTCGCAACATGTTACCACAGAGTATTATAATTTTGTTCAGCTAACGGGTGTTTGTAACATCTAAAACTAATCGATATAGATGCTTATATAAATGATCAGGATAATTATTTACTATATATATGTTAAATATGTACATTTTGATCAGGACATTTATTTATATTTATATGTATAAATGATCAATCGCAGCCACCCACTCTTCATTTAAGGGTTATGTTGAAAACTACTAAAAGTGCGATAGTTAAATTTCACAACCAAGAAGATTCGGAAAGATTTTATAGGAGCCTGTTTCAAAAATGGACAATGCTTTTAGCAACATTCCCTCCTCACTTTTAGGTGAAATTCCATATTTCAGGACCTACTCGACTTATTTCAACCAACAGTATGGGACATTATCCTGAGATTCGTTAATACGATATGAAAATAGGTGACATCGGGTCGCCTACCTCCCGTATACCAGAATTCTAAATTCTATCTGAATCATTCACCTTACAGTTTTTAGATCAAGCACCAATGTACATATATATCGAGATAAAAGTATGCCTCATGCCTAAAAAGTGGACTACAATGGCTATATCTGACATTTTATCGAAAATATCGTTTAATCTGTGATATATTTCATTAAAATTCGTAGAGAATCTTTTCTAGTAATAGTACGCCTGTCTGTCGAAAATGGATTGAATCGGGTTAATACTTCCTTTATAATCCATATACCTAATATACAAATTTTCGAACTTCCAGTTGATTCTATACTTCATAAATCGCTCAATATGGAGTTCTAATAACAATGCATCTGTGTGCCTGAAATGGATAAAATCGGGTGAAAGAATTTTCAAACATCCGGTTGACTTTACCCTTATATATTAGTCAATCTATGAGGTATCTTAATGAAACTCAGAGAGCATCTATTTCTGGTAATGACATGTTGTAATACCAAAATGGCAGATTTATATTGTATACTCATATATAATAATCAGTTCAGTATTTACTTTCGCTTATGAACATTGCGGAGATTACTTTACCGCTTGTTTGTTTACCGCACTGTCTATCGTTTTTCCCAAACGGGAAACAGGGTGTCTTAAAATGACATGGTTTTCATAGAATTCTTAAATTTTAGAGGGTATTATAGTTTCCGGTCAGTGTACGAATGTCTGTACTGTTTAAATAGAAAACAAAAAACTAGATAACTGTGCTGAATAATCTTCGCCAGACTGATTTCTAAATTCTTAGCTCTGTGGATGTCTATAAAAAAATTGGTGTACTAATGGTTATTGGCATAATAATAATTTGTAGAAGCTATTGTATAGCTCACTGATAACAATTTTACACTTTACTTCCATGACATAAAAACATATGTATGTATATATCTACTAAAGCATATCTTTATGATTGGTTGTGCCGCTACTATACCCTCTTATTTATCAAATTTAAGTCCCTATTACGGTTTTCAACTGCATCTTGTTAGAGGTTTTCAAATTCGGTATTATCGCTAGTCACCTGAAAAAATAAAAATTAAATTAAGGGACTCTAGGAAAAGTAGCTAACATATGAAGTCGATACAATATACTGTTTCTAGGAATACACTTTTTGAGTCAAATTAAATTTTTGAAGTGTTATATGAAAATTTTATTATATAAGATATGGTTTGTGGAAATGTTCCTTCACTTCATTTTGGGGGAAAAACAACAAAAGGCTTTGTTATTCAAACGAAAATAATTTATGAATCAAACAATAAAAGCTTTATTTGAAATCCCTGTAATTGTCAATAAAACTTTGTTTAGGAAGTCCTAATGGATCTGAGTGATCACGAAGGCTTTGCGCAGTACACCAATTTTGAACCCAACATTTCCGACATTGTAATATAAATCGAACGCTACTTTAATTTCAACTTTATGGAGTTGCAAACCATAATCGGGGTATTATATTATTTTTAACTATTCTCAAAAGTAATATTACAAACAACACACGAATTATCAAACGGACATTTAATATATATATATTTTATAATATTGATAAACATAAAAGAGCTGTTATTTGTCAAGAACAAAAATATACATATTTAAGCCTCAGAATTTTTTACATATCCTAAGTCGAAAAGCATTTGCGTAATTTCAGCAAATTCTTTATCCAATATATGAACACTTAACTCCTCTGCGTTAATTTTTTCAATAATCTGCACTTCAATACGTTGATTCAATAACATAACTACCAACATTTGAATAACTTTTTCGAAGCGAGCCTCGTCACCGTTTGTAATATCGCTTAAATTAGCGATACGACAGAGAACTGCGCGAAAAGGTTCCTTTTCTTGGACATTGGTGCATTTGGCGATTCCTTTTAGTGGTACAGTCTCTATATTACCATAATCAACATAAAATACCTGCAGGAGGAAATATACAATATTAACTAAACTGTTAAAAAATTCAAAATTATTCACCTGGAACTCGGTATCTCCTGCTACACTAATGACCTTAGCCCGATACCAAAAGTAATCCTTTGCATATTGTGCCAATATTAAATCGCCTAATTTTGGTGCTTCAGTTAACTTCTGTTCCGCAGATATTTCATCAGAGTTCCAAAATAGTTGTTCCAGTTGTTCATTCTTCTCACTTAGTATTTGAGCAAAAAACGAATCAGGTTGAGAAATATGCATAACTTCTAAATTTATTATATCATTTTTAAGAACCTCATCTATACGTGATTGTACCAAAAATTGTTTGCAAAATTTTTCTGTTGGTGTTTGTAGATCAGAATATGAATTTTCGTCGAAGGAATTTACGAAAGGATTCTTTGATAAATTTAATGATTTTTTGACCTATGGGTGATTACAAAACAATAAGCATATATCTGTATTTACAGTAACACTTACTTCTGGTGATTTCTTTGCTGTTGATTGACCTTCAATAATGTAAACGTGCAAAACTCTGCCTATTTGCTTCACGACCTCAAAGTTCACTTCTTTGAATTCATAATTCCGTAGTTTTTTTTTCAGCACATACCCATCTGCCTCTTTGCTTTCGGTAGTTGCATCTTTAACACCCGAAAGAATACATTTCATGGCTTGTGCAGGTAAATCTCTGTAGACTTTGGGTAAATCATAAAATTGTACATCATTGATATTTAGGGGCACCATTTCTCCATAATCGATTAGCAGCACATGTAAGCTGATTTCATTGTCCTTATCTGGAGATTGTAGCAAGACACCTCGTAATATATTCCTACTATTAATTGAGATACCAAAAATAACATTCGTAGAAGGTATACGCACGCTCTTGGGTAGATTATACATATTGGTTAAATCATACAACATATCATTGCGCATCTGGCAAGCATAGAAGCACAAATTTTCTATATTATGTATATACGTAACGAATGCGGTAAAGTGATACCCCACAACGAATACCGACAAATCACGCAAATGCACACATGACGGTATAGATTCAAGTGTTAGTGACTCGGGTTCAGCAAACTTTATTTTACGTACTGTTGCATTTTTATCGTCCAATACGTTGGTAGCTTGCACTTTTCCATTATCGTCCAATAACGCAATTGAAGTTAACGAATCCTTCTCTACACTTCGGTAACTCGTCCACTTCTCGGACTCTACACTGCGATAATGCTTACTATCAATGTCGTAATCCAAACACTCGTCTTTATCGCTTAATACCTTATGCCATTCAACAAATTCCTCGAGTAAATACGGAATAGGTTCCAGATCAATACCACCACCAACATAACCAGTTAGGATTTTATTGATATTATGTAGTTGCAAATGGATGTTGAATTTACGTGCTAAGTTTGTCACGGTCGCTACACGCGACATGTATTTGTCGTAGGCCATCAAAGCAAACACATTAGCATGATCTGGTCGACCTGAATCTTTTCGAAAATTTTTAAATATATCGTTTCTTATGATAACTTCACATTCCTCTAAATATTTATTTAGATTGGTTTTTAGTTGCTCAACCTCTCGTTTGCACATATGATGCATTATTTGCATTCGATCCACATTTGATCGGGACGCCATAAGTTTGCCACATAAAAAAAATGCAGAAGTAAATATTTATAACTGCTCAAATTCTAATAATTCAAAAACTTTACCAAAATGTTGTTAAAATATAATACAACTTCCGTTAAATACACACAAGTAACGGAACTTTCTAAATAGAGTTACCAAGCTTTCTGAAATATATATTTTTTTATTTCATTCATTAACATATGTATAGTACTAGGGTAGTATATAAAACTTTAAACATTATTTTGATAACACATTTATTATTACGGTCACAATACTCGAAACATCTCGTTTATGTATTTATTATTATATGAGGTCGACAATAATCTCTAATTTCTTACCACTAAGCATGATTTGTGTAGCTACTGCAGACACAACTTTGTCAAAACCAGCTTTTCATACTCTCGCAACATGTTGCTACAGAGTATAATAGTTTTTTTTCACCTAACGGTTGTTTGTATCACCTAAAGCTAATCGATTTAGATATAGGATTATGTATATATAAATGATCAGCATGAAGAGACGAGTTGAAATCCGGGTGACTGTCTGTCCGTCCGCCTGTGCAAGCTGTAACTTGAGTAAAATTGAGATATCTTTAAGAAACTTGGTACACATGTTTACGGCTACATCCGAACTTAGCCCTTCCTTACTTGTTATATTTCATATTATGTAAAACAAATGGAATTCTACTTTTATATAGATTTCTTTATTTAATTAATCATCAATATATATATATATATGTATATATATTTACTCTTCTTAAACGAAGTATCTTAAAATAAAATATATAAATTTTTATATCTGTATCTTTATTTGAGTAATACATTCTACATTGTGGTAGGTTTACAACGAAGTATCCCATTTCAGTAAAAATACTATGTTTTAAACATCTTATCGTCCCTCAACTAGAAATAGATAAATAAGAAGTTATTAAGTAATTACGAATATTTTCAGGTCAACCAATACGAGTTCACTTACTATATGAAGATAGATCGATCTCATCCGGTAATTCAGTGATATTGACATCGAATCGGTCTTGCACTTCGTTCAAAATTTTGGCGTCTGCTTCATCAGAAACAAATGTTATTGCCAAACCTTTGGTACCAAAACGACCAGCTCTTGCAACACGATGAAGGTAAGTGTCAGAATCTTCCGGCATATCATAATTAAATACAATGTTGACACGTTCTATATCCATACCACGTCCAAAAAGATTGGTTGCCACCAAAATACGTTTTTGGAAATCCTTAAACTGTTGATAACGGTTTAAACGCTCTTCTTGGGTCATACCACGATGTATGCCAATTGCGGGGAAATTTTGTTCAGTAAGCAATTGAGCTAGCGCCATGCAGCGTTGTACCGATTTTACAAAAATTACAACCTGATACAATTCACAATTAGTTTATTTGGTAATCATAAATATTAAATTTATCATGCGCTATCTAAAACCTACTTGATTAAATTCGAGTACATCCAATAATTCAAACAATTTTTTGTTTTTCTCATTTTCCTTCAATTTGACATAATGCTGTTGTAGTCCGTGCAATGTCAATTTTGCTTCGTCATCCACATATACTTCCATGGGCTGAAATATAAAATTAAATGTGATATATTTTAACTTACAATTATTGAAAAACCAATTATTATGAATCATCTGCCACTTTTCAGCGCTATATTCCAATCCCTGTCGCTGAATCGTTAACAGACAGACAGATGAAGCGTCTTTGATATTATTCACTGTCGTCCAATATAAGACATAGTAAATTTTGAAACATTTATATTCTATAATTACATACGGCCACACAACCACCACATCTCATTAGTTTCGAAACAGGCTACAGTCGCAGCTGCACGCATATAGAATTTCGAGGGCTCCCCAATGGAATGTTTAGACTTATATCCGTTTGGTAGTCGGCTTACAGATGCATCCCAGGCATTGCCCTTTCCAATGCTATCTGCGAGTAAGCATTGCTCATTCCCATTTGTGAATGATCGATTTATTGACTAATCTTGTTGCATGTTGGAACGTATATAAAAGTACGTCGCAAAGGGTCCACGCCACTTTACAAGACGATATATCGTTAATTATTTGATATTTTGTTATTACTTTGTCTTTAGTTATTCAGCAAATTACAGTATATGATATTAATATAGTTATCGCTTTTAAACTGACCATTTTGACTGGTCTTCTATTCATTTATACTTGTTTTTTAATATTATCTTTTGGTATTTGTTGTCTGTTATACGAAATTTGTTATGATCTTTGACTTTATGTTTATTAGGTATTTTGATTTTTGGCATAATGGTGTAGTGGTGTTTATTTTGTGGCAGTTCAGCAATTGAGATAAAGCTTAGTGAGATAACTAGTGGTAGTAGAACAAGTAGAAGAATGGACACGTTGATATTTACATCTTGCATGAATTTTTTGCATACTGGACGTATTTCCTTGCTCAATGTGGCGGAAAACATCATGACTTGTTTTCCATGTGGAGTGCTGCGGAAAATTTCCTGTACATCACGACGCATATCTTAAAAGAAATTATTTTTTTCTCGATTAGGAATTATTCATTTGCATATATTACAAATATAATTGTAACAAAGGTATTCTTCTAATTTCAATCTTACCTAGTTGTTCCAACATTTTGTCACATTCGTCAAGAATAAAGTGTTTCAAATGCTTCAAGTTTAATTTTTTGTTGCGTATCAAAGCAAGAATACGGCCGGGTGTACCTACAACAATGTGAGGTGTCGTACCCTTCAAAGATTCTTCATCTTTTTGTATGGATAATCCACCGAAGAATACACCAACCTTCAATAAATGGTGTATTTAATATAAAATTAAAGAAAATAAATTTGGCTTAGTTTTAGCAATTACCTTTACAGCCGGCATATACTTCGAGAATCTTTCGTACTCTTTGCTTATTTGGAATGCTAATTCACGAGTGTGACACATGACTAATACGTATACCACATTCTCTGTCGGTTCCAGCTGTTGTAAAGTCGCAAGTACAAAAACAGCAGTCTTACCCATACCCGACTTAGCCTGACATAAGATATCCATACCCAGTACAGCCTGTGGTATGCACTCGTGTTGCACTGCAATCATATTTAAAATATTTACATATATTTGTATTTCAAACTATTTTTTCTTAATAGATTACAAATAAAAGTGTCAGATTTTAATATGATAAATCGATCATAATATTATATATCAGTTGTCCCTATCAATTTTATCATCATAAAAGTGGAAACCAAGAAGCAACATTGGTTTCATATGTGCATACATTCAGGTATGTATAAATACATATAACAAAAATTTACCTTCGGACGGATGCTCGAAACCGCAATCAACTATTGCACGCAAAATTTCCGGCTTCAACAAAAAGTCACGGAAGCCAGAACTGTGAATTGACACGTACGTGCCTTTCACATCCTTCTTTGGAGCTTCTGGAACTTCAGCGACGGTAGTTTCGGTCTGCTCCTCATCTTCATAATCCAAAAGATCATCATTATCAGCCATTTTTACTTAAGCGTCTTCTAGTATTAAAAAAATAAATGAAAAGTTAGGTTATTCGAGCAATCGTCGGCAACACCAAGCGACAGATGTGATGCCGCCATTTTCTTTTTCTTCAACCAGGTCAAAAACTTGCATATTTGCCTAAATTATGTTCAAAAAACGTATAATGAAGCAATAATTACCTTTTTAGGAGTTGAAATCAAACAATAGTATATATTTCACAATTTATTTTAATAGTTAAAAACTTGTAAAGTCGCGTCACACTTTTTCTTGA